TTCCAGCCTGGCCGGTGTTGCTCAATGGTCGAGCACTGACCTATGAACCAGAAGGTCATGGTTCGATTCCCCATCAGGGCACATGCCCTGGTTGCGGACTCGATCCCCAGTAGGGAGTGTGCAGGAGGCAGCCCATCAATGACTCTCTCCTCATTGATGTTTCTCTCTCCCTCTCCCTTCCTCTCTGACATCAATAAAAATAGATTTTTTAAAAATAATAAAGAATGGTTTCCAGAAATACTCTTATCACTCGCACCCCCTCTGCTGGTTCACCTGGTGTCCTGACATAAAGGTGCAGGGACAGAGGTCACGTCACTATGTCGGCACATCATACGCCCCAGGCTCCCGACATGGGAAGGATGTGGCCAATGGAGGAGAACCAAGGTCCGCATTGCACGGAGCCGGAAGCTAGTCTCAGACGCGGAAAACGACAGGTGGAGGATTCAGTTCCCACTGGCGCCTAGTTACCACGGAACTCCTCGCCACTGGGAAGACGATCAGTAACACAGCACATGCAGTTACCAATGCACCACACAGCAGGTTCTTTTTGTTGGGAATCGTGTGCAGAACAACTGAGCGACAGAGACCGGCAGCAGTACCGCAAAGAGAAAGTATACCTGTGCGTGACGTCAAACGTTTTCTAGGTCAGGACGCGGGGTTGTGTGTCAGCGCACAACACATTCTGTCTTGACAAAATCGGCAGCTCCTGGGGAAACCGCACAGAGAATGTGGCTTTCCCCAATTTGACATTAAAAATTTAAGGTTCACATGACATTATCAGTAACAGATTATGAAGCTGAGAAAAACCTTTCTAAAGTTGAAAGCATTTTAAAAATATAACATACATATATGTATGTATGTTGTTGTTGTTGTTTTTTATTTCAGAGAGAAAGGGACAGGGAGAGGGAAATAGAAACACCAATGATGAGAGAGAATCATTGATCGGCTGCCTCCTGCACACCCCCCACTGGGGATCGAGCCTTCAACCCGGGCCTGTGCCCTTGACTGGAATTGAACCTGGGACCCTTCAGTTTACAGGCCCACACTCCATCCACTAAACCAAACTGACTAGGGCATAGAAAACATTTTTTGATTAACCAGACTAGAAGTCTGACTTTTTTTTTCTCCTAGAGAAAAGATAATATAATCACTGCTATATGAAGAGTATGCAGCCCAAATTGCAGGGGGAAATGCATTCTAGTGGCTTGTCAGCTAGATAAGTAAAATTGTCTTATTGTTCTGATGTTATGATTGTGGTACATGTCAGCTTTTTAAAGTTTGTAATTTACAGGAATTTATTTTCCCACTGTAAATAAATATGGGACTTTGCCTGTGTGATTAATTCAGGCCCCAGGAAACATGAGTTTCCCTGCTTGAGATGTAAAGCACTGTCTTACATTGGAAGCCTGTGCAATGAGAAGCTCTGGACTAGATAAGTGATCGCAAAGACTCCTTCCAGCTCCGGAATTCTCAGAACTTCGGGAAACACGCCCTGTCCCCTTCCTCCCAAGGAAGTCCTTCCTTGGCGCTGATCCAAGTCTTTCCTGCTGGACGCAGAGTCCTTCTCCCTTGGGAAGAGCGGAAGACAAAGCACTAGTGTGCAGAGTTCCCAGGGGAGACGTGAGGACAGGAGCCATGCAGGCATAAGCTTCGGGGGAAAGGACAGAGAAAGGAGTCGAACCAAAGCCCCAAACCTAGGGAATAGGCTTGAGGGCCCCTCCCAATATAACAATAGTAATTACCATTTGGAGCTTTCTTTATTTAGCCTGTATTGAGCGCTTACTGTATACCAGTAAAAGCTATAGATATCTTTCCGCACCTGTATACTAGGTGTTCTACATGTTATCCCTAATCCTCCGCCAACTAAGACAAGAGGTGAAGTGACTTGCCCACGGTCACCGAGTTCTGCTCTCTCCTGCCATGCACACCTTTCCCTCCAGTGTGCCATACTTCCTGGGTTCCTAAAGATCTGACTTCCCACACACTGTCCCCTCATCTTAGGGAGCAAATTCCTCTTCCTTCCTCTTTAGTTCCCTGCTCCAGGGCGCCTCCTCTCTCTCACCCCTCCCTCTGCCCCAGCGGTGATTGATCTTGCCCTCCTCTGCAGCACTTAGAATACACCTGTACGGGCCCTGGCCAGGTGGTTCAGTCGGTTAGAGTGTGGTCCGTTATGCCAAGGTTGAGGTTCGACCCTCGGTCAGGGCACATTCAAGAATCAACCAATGAATGCATACATAAGTGGAACATGAAATTGATATCTCTCTCTCTCTCATCAATAAATAACAATTAAAGAAAAAGAAAAAAGAAGATACATCAGTGAACCAAACAGATGAAATGCCTTATCTTCATGGAGCTTTCATTCTGGTTGGGGAGAGAGACAAAAACACGAAGATGAAAGTGGAGAAGTTCAGCAGAGAAAGTGAGTCCGGGTCATGTGTTGCAGACACCCTCCCACTGAGTTCTCACAACCAGGTTTCAGATAAGAAGCTTGAGAAACAGGGCGGGTGAGTGACTTGCCCTGAGCCAGTGGTTGGCAAACTGCGGCTCGCGAGCCACATGCGGCTCTTTGGCCCCTCGAATGTGGCTCTTCCACAAAATACCACGGGCGGGCGCGCATGGACAGTGCGATTGAAACTTCGTGGCCCATGCGCAGAAGTCAGTATTTTGTGGAAGAGCCACACTCAAGGGGCCAAAGAGACGCATGTGGCTCGCGAGCCGCAGTTTGCCGACCACTGCCCTGGACCATTTGATTGAGAAAGCAGTGAAGGCAGCATGTGAAACCAGGTGAAATGAAATCTCCGCTGTCTTCAAAAAGTGACTCCTGGCTGTGTAGATGCCCCAAACCAATGCGGTAAATGCGGTTGTTTTATTTCTGTGATAATTCATTTTAGCAATAAAAGAAGAAGAAGCCCTAACTGGTTTGGCTCAGTGGATAGAGCGTCAGCCTGTGAACTGAAGGGTCCCAGGTTCGATTCCAGTCAAAGGCATGTACCTTGGTTGCAGGCACATCCCCAGTAGGGGTGTGCAGGAGGCAGCTGATCGATGTTTCTCTCTCTATCCCTCTCCCTTCCTCTCTGTAAAAAAATCAATAAAATATATTAAAAAAATAAATAAATAAAAATAAATAAATAAAAGAAGAAGAAGAAGAAAAAACGATGCCTGGCTGGTGAGCTCAGTGGTTGAGCATGGACCTATGAACCAGGAGGTCGCCCACGGTTGGATTCCTGATCAGGGCACATGCCGGGATTGCGCAGTAGGGGGCGTGCAGGAGACAGCCAATCAGTGATTCTCTCCCATCATTGATGTTTCTATCTCTCCCTCTTCCTTCCTCTCTGAAATCAATAAAAATATACTTTTTTAAAAAAAGAAACAAACGAAAAGCGCTCTAGGTTCATATGATGCTACAACTTCTATTGAGAAATGCAATAAACTTACATAGCACTTTCCTGTGTAACTTCAATGGCCTGAGGAGATTGAGAAAATCATCCTGGTCAGCTGAATGGTTGAGTTTAGGGAAAAAACTGACCCAGCACAACGCCCCCCCCCCGCCACCTTCCCGCGACCCCCCCTTCCCGGCCCCCCGCCACCCCCCGCTTCCTGGTCTCCCATCTGAGGTCTCTGCCGTTCTGCAAGGTGACTCGAGGTCGTTCTCAAAGCCGCAGCCGAGCAGAACTGGATTGGCCAGCTTCCCTCGTCCCCGTGCGCTCTAACCCTCCCGAGCACAGGGTGGCTGCAGAGGGCATCGCGGGCCGGGCCGCTTCCCCGCTGGGCCGCTAGGGGGCGACCAGCTGCAACAGACCCAGGAGAGCCAGGCACCGGATGCCCCCTGGGCGTGACGTCACCGCACGTCCCCGCCTCGGGTGGGAAGAGCAGGTGAGGAGGGTCGTCAGTGGAGGGAGAAAAGGCTGGGAAGTCTGTCATTCTGCCGCCCTGATTTCAGACTAGCTCCCTCCAGTGTCTTCCGCTCACTGTTGCCGCAAGGACATCTCTAAAACGAAAGCCTGATTTTGTCACCACCCGTGACACCTCCACATAGCTTACCAAAAAAAAAAAAAAAAAAAAAGCTAAACACAGGACCTGCGCGATCTCGCCCCGGCCTAATTCCGGGCCAACATCCTTTGGAGCCGTATTGCAATAGTTTCAATTCCCTGAACTAGCCATACTCTTTCTCCCTGTGTGCCCTGAAACGTTTGGGTTGGTCTACCTGAATATCTTTTTGCACCAGGTTTACGTGGAGAAATCTGTCTTGAAGTTAAATTTATCAGCTTCTCTGTGAACCCTCCCCAGACAAGACTCCCCTCATCCCCCACCCCCGTTGGGATAGAGGCTCCTCCGGTGTTATCTATACCTCGTGGGCTTCCTCCATCACACTGTAATAAATACCTGGCCTGGCCTTTCCAACGTCCGTCACAGAGCAAAGGAAATGCAGAGTGCAACAAATGATTGCAGAATTAATGCAGGAAATAGTGCTGAGGTCAGGCTCTGCCACTTGTGAGATCGCAGGCAAACTATCTGGCTCATGAGTTTGTTGTGAGAAGTGAATGCATTCGTGTGCAAAAAAACGCTTAGAACAATGCCTGGACCACTGCAAGCAATCAACAAACTTGGCTTTCTCCCGATTTTCACAGTAGTCAGGCAGCCAACGAACGTCATGGCCCCTTTAAGGGACACGCCCACTTTGGCAGTAAGCGGAAGTACACGCTCAGGGCTCCGGCTGTGACTTCAGAGTCCCGGAAGTGACCTCGGAGCCCCTCAGAAACATGGCCCCAGGACGTTGTTTTGGACGCGGTCACGGGCGTCTCCGTGACGCAGGACGAGTTAGAGCGTACCGTGAGGTTTCCATGGTGCCCCCCTCAGCCCCTAGTTCCTCCGCTTTCTCTCCCGCCTGAGCGCCGCGCGAACAAGAAGTCAGGCGGCAGGTCCGCCCGTGACGTCACGCCGCTTGGGGGTGGGGCTAGGGAGCAGGTGACGCTCTAGCGGAGCTCGCGCGGATCTCTATGCTCCCGAGCGCTCGTGTGCGCCGCTCCTGCGCGTCGGGGCGGACGTTGCCCCTTTAATCGGCGGAGGGTGGTACCGAGGAGGTCCCGCGAGAGTCGAGGGGGGCGGGGGGCGGTGCCGAGGCTGGGGGCCCGTGGCGGATGGAGGCCGAGATGGAGCCGGAGACTCTGGAGGCGCGAATCAGTGAGTGTCCGGGAGGGGCGCGGGCCGGGCCGGAACCGGAACCGGGGGCCCGAGGCGGGTCCCTTCCCGGCGGGGGCGGGGTACGGGGCGCCCCCTCCTCACGCCCCGCCCCGGTCCCGGGAGGGGCGGTGCCCCGAGTTGGTACCTGCGACCCTGAGATGAAGGGAGACCCACCAACTGGGTGGACTGCCCATCCGATCCCGGGGCAGCAACCCTCAGGGAAGAGTGAGCTGCGCCCGACTCTGCACCCAGCAGCCCCGGGACGGAGAAAGCAGCCTCCGACCCACTCGGGCCCCGACTTCTCCACCGAGTCCTCTCCTGGGGTCCCGGGAAGGAGCAAGCGAGCGCAGGGCTGCACCTCAGGCCCCGGAGGGAAGGACCCTGCTCCCTGTGGGGCCCGAGTCCTCCACTCCCTGGTCCTGCACGTCCTGACTCCCTCCTGTCCTTTCCCTTGAGCTTGCAACTTCTCAGATTTGCTGGTTCCCCCGCCTAGGAAGGGAGGACCCCCTGATCCATCTGATCCCCCAAGCTCTGGCCACACAGTAAAAAACCCCCAAACCCTACAGGCTTGAAAGGGCCCATCTCTAACTCCAGAAGTAATTTCAAGTTTTCTATCACTCCCCTCAGCCCAGCCCCTCAGCCTCTGCACCTCCACCCAAGGCTCCTTTCCCAGCCGTTGCCGAACTTCCTCCAAAGGCCCCTGAACCCCTTTCTCCGAATCTTCAGACACTGCTTCCTACCGCCCAGGCTCCTGAGCCCTCCACCGAGCTCCCTGCCCTGCAGTGCTGACATTCCTGGCTCTCACAGCCCGCTCCCGGACTCTGCCCCAGAAAGCTGTGGGTTGCTTCTCCCTGGGCTAGTGTTGGACCCATGCCTGTGCCAGGGCCTCGGGGAGGCCTCTGGGTCTACGCTCAGCTCAGCACCTCGGCCTCGGGCACAGCAGGAAGCTTCGAGGGGTGAGCAGGGTTGACCCCCTGAGGTTAGCCCAGAACCACACCGTCCTCTGGCAGGGGGAGAGGGAGGGAGTGGAAAGGAGGCGCTCGGCCGCCATGGAGACTGCTCCAGCACGCCACAAGTGTCCAGGTCGCAGCAGCAACTTGGGGGGATGGGCAGGTCCCTGGCTGACAGATGTGACGCGAAGCTGAAGGACCTGAGGTCTGTTGATAGGAAACAGTGTCAGGTTTAGCAACAATGGGAACTTTCTGGGAGACCAAAGAGTGTGGCCTAAGAAACAGAGGGGAATCAGGACTCCTGGTTGGGCAGTAGGCTGGGCCCCAATAAATTGGGACCAACATTTTTTTCTCTCTTTCTTTCCCTTTGTGCCCTAGCAAAATTGCAAGCTCTTCCCTTGCTGGTTAGAGGTTAAAAGTAGCCTCTGATGGGTAAACGATGACGTTTGTCACCACTGGAGTGACAGGGTAAAGTCACACCTCCCTGGAGGTGTTCTTCCCTGCGTCCTGCCCGGGAAGGTGCCCTCTCCTTCCTCCCAGAGGTAATAGGCCTGGGGCTTGGGGCCAGGGCCGGAGAATTTGGTCCAATCTCCTGGGACCCAGAGGCCCTCACTCTGAGAGGGATGCAGGGGAGAACGCTGATGGCTCATGATTGCGCAGCTTCCTTGCTGGGTTCTGACTCAGGAGCCGTCTCTAGAACCAGCCTCTCTGTCCACACTCAGACTCACATGTCTGACACTGGAAGGGACTTCCTGTTTCAGGGTCCCCCCCCCCCTCCCCCAGGCGGGTGTCATTGAATGGGTAATAGCCCAATTCTCTCAGGCTGGTGTTCCCCAGCCTCTGGCCATGTTGGGGGGCTAGGAGGGGGAGTAGATGACCACGCTTATGGGGGGTGTCTCTTCCTGGTACGCTGGGTGGTCAGCAGGACTTCATTTCTCTAAGGGACTGGAGGACTCCTGGAACAGATTTATACCCAGAGAGAAAATGCTTCATTCAGATATCTGCTCAGCTGTACCAGAGAGTAGCCTGCCCCCCGCCCCCCACCTTCTCTGCCTTCTCCTTGCTGTTTTTCCTTATAGCACCTCACAGCAGCGTACAGTATTCTGTGTGGGGTGTTTATCTGAGCAGTCAGTGTCTCTTGCTGGCCTGTGAACTCCAGGAGGGCAGGAATTGTGTCTTGTTCACTGCTGTGGCCCCAGCACTCAGAGTGTTTATCGAATAAATATGAATTGAATGAATGGCTGCCAGTCACTAGGCTCCCAGGGCTCCGGGCCTCCCACAGCCCAGGAGCCCAGGTGGGCAGCTGCCGCGGGCGGGTCTCCAGCCGCCTCCTGCCCCCAGATCCTGCCCTGTCCCACCTCTCGGGCTGTGTTCCCTCCACAGCGCTGGCTCTGGCTCAGGCTCGGAGACAGGCTCTGGGGAAGTAGCGCGGATCTGCCTCTGCCTGCCCCACAGCTCTGTCCTGTGTGAAGCATTTCGTCATCCCAACCCAGTCTGTATTTCCAGCCAGCTTTACAAATGGGGAAACGGAGGCCTGGGGAAGCTGTGACCTACTTGGCGGTGGTTTAACCGATGTGGGAGTTAAGGGAGGTGACGGGGAGCCTTGTTTACCACCCCCTCCTTACCACTCCTGCCTGCCTACAGCTGAGCCCTCATTCATTCGTTTGCCAGGGGAGATGGGCAGGTACACAAGCAGCTGGATGTGTGCCGTAGCAGCTTGGGCCTGTGGTGAAGGTCAGGGCTGAGGGACACAGAAGAAAGAGCCGAGGCAGCAATACCAACTTGAGGATGGGTGGGAGCTAGCAAGGACTTCCTGGAGGAGGGGATGCCTCAGCCATACTCCTCACCAAGGCCCGTCACACTGTGCCCGGTGCTCAGCTATCTCCGTCTCTTCTCCCACAGCCTGGGGCTGTTCAGAGGCATGCATACCCAGCCTGTAACTCCCTCCACTCCCTGCTGGCGTTGCCTCTTCCAGGCAGCCTCCCCTGGCCCCTGGCCCCGGGCTCAACTGAGTCCCCTCTCCAGTTCCTGGGGCTCCTTTGCCTCCCTCTGTCTCCTTGTATTGAGAACCTACTTCCTTTGGCCCACTTGCCAGCCAGGCGGACTCCTGAGGGAGGAACTAGACGTTTATTTTTCTCCTGCTTCTGGGTCTCCTCTGAGCATAAATTTCGTGAGAATCGTGGGGCCACTATTTCCAGGAGCAGAACAGAGGAGTGGTGGGCATGGCATCATACCGCTGTAGGGGCGGGCAGTGGGGAGTGGGAGAGTCTCTAAAAGCGGGGCCCTTCAGGGAGAAGCCGAAAGGGGAAGCCAGTGGACAGGCAGCCTTCTGTCCATGGACCGGACTGAGACATCAGCCCTCCGGCCTTGAAGTTGTGGCAACTGGCCTTTTTGTGTGCTCAGTCATACACCCTGCCCCCCACTGACCAATCCCCGCTGCTGGGGCAGGGAGTGAGAGGCAGGGATCCCTTTGCTAGCCACACTGGCCCTCTCTCCTCCTACAGACAGAGCCACGAACCCCCTCAACAAGGAGCTGAACTGGGCCAGCATCAACGGCTTCTGTGAGCAGCTCAACCAGGACTTTGAGGGGTAGGTGGTCTCTCTCCCTGTTTTGCTCACGCTCAGCAGAATCCGCTGTGTACCTGCTGTGCACACCGCAGACGCTAGCCTCGGGCAGAGACGTTTCCATTCTTAATGCTCTCACAAATATTTTTTTTTATTTAGTGGTTGATTTGGGGGAGGGGGCGCGGGGGGAGAGAGAATCAACGATTTGGTGTTCCGCTTATTTATGCATTCACTGGTTGATTCTTATATGTGCTCTGACCAGGATTCGAACTTGGTGTATTGGGATGATGCTCTAACCAACTGAGCTACCCGGCCAGGGCTAATGTGCTCACAAATTAATGACAGTAGTGGGCACTCGGTACTGAGTGCTGCTTAGGAGCCAATCTCTGAGGTCAGCCTTGCTGGACCCATTTTACAGGTGAAGAAACTGAGGCTATGGGGATTCAGCAGTTGCCCCAAGATCTCACAGAGAGAAAATGGTAGTCCTGAGCTTGTGAAAATGCACATTTTGGGGCTGCCCCAGACTTGGACTAGATGCCGGGCGGGGGTCTTAGGATAGATATGTTAGTGGGTTCCCAGGTGATGCTGAAGTTTGGGGAGCACAGCTCAATGTGCTCCTCCCCCAGTGCAGCACTCCACTCGGGGAGGCTATGCAGACAGCATGACGACTGCTTGGGGGCGACTCCCCTCCCCTGTTAGTGGGGCAGGTAATTAAATGCTTCTGAGCTTCCATTCCTTCAACTGTAAAGTGGGGCGCAGGTGCCGCCCACCTCAGAGGGCCCTGGTGAAGCTTGGGCAGGAAAGTGCTTGTGCGGCACCGCGCACACCATAAGCACTCAGTGTGTGGTAGCTGTTACTGTCACTAGTGACAGGTCTTTTAGGATCTGGTAGCCGATACCACCGCCTCCGCCATGAAGCTGCTCTGATTGCCCCTAGAATGTCCTTGAGTTCCCAGGGAGCTATGTCTGCCCATCTCTCCTGGTACATTGTCTTGTTCTGCTCCCAGCCTGGGCCCTTGAAGGCTGTGTCATCTCTCCATACTTGTGTCTATGCTGAGCCAAGGACACGGCAGGTCATAGTTCTTGTAAAGCTGGCCAAGGGGCTGAGCTCATGCCTTTTGAAGGTCCCAGCCTGCACTCCCTGCCTGGCCCTACCCCATCACGCCACAGTCTCCAGCCCTGCCCTTGATCCAGAGAGGGAGCTGGGCCTCTGCATCTGCCCTGCAGGAGCCACCGAGGGCTACGGCCTTAGGGAGTGAGGCAGCCCCCTGCCCCCCCGGGCGCCTGAGCTGTGTGGCTATTCTAGCTCTGTCTCTTCCTCTCACCCAGGCCTCCACTTGCCACCCGGCTATTGGCCCACAAGATCCAGTCCCCGCAGGAGTGGGAGGCGATTCAGGCCCTGACGGTGAGGAGAAGGGGAAAGAGGGTGCTGGTCAACTGCCAACCACATGGATAGCACCAGGGGAGGCCAAGACTGGGGTTTTTGGGGTCCCATCAGACTCTTCAGGGCCCAAGGGCGTTGTGCCAAGATGGCCTAGAATGGGGGTCTGGGCCATCCCCTGAGGGTCCCACAGCAACCAGTGGGCTGGCCTCCTGTCCCAGACCCTGCACAGGTAGGTCTCTTGTGGGGAGGAAGCCCCCTAGGGTCGTCTGGTCCAGAGGTTCCGCCCGAGCTGTGCCTCAGCTCTCCCGGAGGCTGGTTAAACATACCACCCAGAGCTGCTGGGTCAGAACTACAGTACCTGCATCCAGGAATCCGCAAGCTCCCAGGTGCACTGCGGAGCCAGCCCAGCTCCTCAGTGATCTCCAGACACAGGAGTACAAGGAGTGATGCCTGGGCTCGGGCCCGAGGTTTCTTGCCAATAGCAGAAGAGTACGGGGTGCACTGCAGCCCCCGAGCATGGGCCATGTAGCAACTGACTATGTACCCACACTGATTTTAGGTGGTAGTAATAAACAGGTTTTCTTTTAATAGTTATGTCTTTATTTTTAACACATTAAGTTTTTTGTTTTGTTTCTCAAATACACACTAGTCCTATGATTTCACAGACATATAGCTTAGAATAAGGCTAAGGTAGATGGTGCCTATTTAAGTTTAAAAAAACAATCAAAGGAATATAGTAAGAGAATAATTTACAAATGGTATGGAGATGGCCAAGCCAGGAGGTGGCGATCAGTCTCAGGGCCTCTTAACCTCCGAACCCTCTTGTCCTCACAAGTCACTTTCTCCCTTACAAACCCGGGACTTCTGGGCTGCCTCCCCCAGGTGCTGGAAACGTGCATGAAGAGCTGCGGCAAGAGGTTCCACGATGAGGTGGGCAAGTTCCGCTTTCTCAACGAGCTCATCAAGGTTGTGTCTCCCAAGGTGGGTGCTCCCAGCCCAAGCTCAGCCCTGTGCCGTCTGATGGGTGACGGACTGCACCTCATCCTGGGGCCTCCTCCTGGGGCTCACGCTCCTCCTCCTGCCTCAGCCCCCATTAGCAATCTCACCGGCAGGAGCACAGACCCTCTCTCCTGGTCCCCCTCACACCGCCGAGTCGGGGCAGCTGATTCCTAGGCAGAGTGCTTCCGCTGACATGGCGGCTGGCCCGGGAGCTGCTTGGTACTTAGGGGCAGACAGCTGCAGGGAGTGCACACAGCTGCTCCAGCACGAGCTGCTCTGGCTCTGAGATCTCCCTGCAGACCTGGCCATGGCGCCCCACCTGTCCCCACTTCACAAGAGTGGCTCCCTTGAGGCCTAGGATGCTGAGACCCCAAACCTGAGTGATAGAGCCTGCTGGCTCCAGATGGGCCACGCCCCCAGCTTGCCCGAGGAGTCCTCCCATGGGTCATGAACATGTTTGGTGCCCCTACCCCCTTCGCCCGTCCTCACTCAGACCTGCTGTCCTGAGTGGCTAAATGATCCGGCTGGCCCCCCTATTCTCCTCCCAGAAGGTGACTCGTGTGAGAGCCAGTTCCCTTAGCCTAGTGTACTTCTGGGGGGCTGCGTGGGGTCCACGGCCGAGCGTGTCCACAGCTGCCCCTGCCCTAGTCAGTCCGGTGGCAGCTCCTTCCTGAGGTCACAGAGTTAAACCTTACATGAGCAGGCCCTGGGCTCTGTGCCTTAGCCATATAAGCTCTGCATCCTCATTGTGGTGCCACTGTTACCATCCACACTTAACAGTGGGGAAACAGGCATGCAGCGTTAGCACAGCTAGCGAGTGACAGAGCTAGCAGGTGAAGTCTGTCTGTGCCAGGCTGCTTGGGTGGGATGTGAGGGCCTTAGAGCCCAGCTTTCCGAGGGAGTTCGGAGAAGACAGCCAGCCAACGTCAAGGGCTTCCCCTCCCCTTGGTCTTTGAAGTACCTGGGCTCTCGGACATCAGAGAAGGTGAAGAACAAGATCTTAGAGCTGCTCTACAGCTGGACGGTCGGCCTGCCCGAGGAAGTGAAGATTGCCGAGGCCTACCAGATGCTCAAGAAGCAGGGTGAGGCCCCGGAGCCGGGGCTTGGCCACCCCTCCCACTCCTCCCCTCCTGGGCGCCCGCTACTTTGGAGCTCTGGCAGCAAGGTCATGGGTCTGCCCTTTAACTCCCCCAGAACATAGCCAGTGAGGCCTTTTTGTTGCCCTGCCTGAGGCTAGCTTGGGTGGAGAGAAGGTGGGTTTGGGTCAGGCTTCCCTTCAGAGAGTGGCTCCCATGGAGTGGCCTCAAAATATGGGTGCCCACTCTTCCCCGTGCAGTTCAACGGTAGGTCAGGAGCAGGCCTTGGCCCACCAGGCTAGAGCCAGCATGCTGGCGAAGGACTGCCTCCCCCGTCCTTTCTGTGCTTACCTGGCCACGGCCCCATCGCACCCCTGCCCCTGGGCCTGGGCCCTTCCGACAGCCTTCCCACCACCCATCTACTCTAGGGATAGTGAAGTCCGACCCCAAGCTTCCAGATGATGCCATCTTTCCCCATCCTCCTCCTCGGTCCAAGAATGTAATCTTCGAAGATGAGGAGAAATCCAAGGTGAGGCTCCAAGGAGGGGTAGACGAGGGCTCTAGGGCCCACTTGGGGGTCAGTGAATTCCAACCCCTGGCTGCCCTGCCCTTGAAGCAGAGGCTGAAGATGAGCATCCGCTGTGGTGGGTGACAGGCACTGTTTCTCGAGCACTTCCTGCATGCTGAGTACTCCCCATACGGTGCCCTGCATTAGTGAACACAAGAGTGTCTGGTGTCCGTGGGGTTGGTTTGAGGGCATTTCATAGGTTGCCCAGGAGTTTGCATGTCTTTATGTCATTCACCCTTTGAACGTAATTTCATTCGTTGTTTGTAAAAGAAGCATGTGTTCATGGGCAAGAAATGAAACTGCACAGGAGGTAAGATGCACAGTAAAAGCTCCTGCCTACCTCGCCCAGCCCCAGAGGGTAACCACAGCTAAGCTTCTTGTACACCATCCCAGAAAGGCTCGCTAACAGCGGTAATAGGAGGCTTTGCGCCATTTGTTGAGAACTTATTTCTGCCGGGAACTGTGGTGACCACTTATGCGCAGTGTCGCAGTTGTCCTGTGGCCACCCCATCAGGTGTCAGTAGATTCTCGCCATGTCATGAGAGCTTAGGTAACATCCCACAGCCGGGAAGTGGGGAGCCAGCACGTGACCCCAGGCCCACTCCCTGCCATCGTGGCCATGCCCTCCTGTCTTCGCAGATGCTGGCCCGCCTGCTGAAGAGCTCCCACCCGGAGGACCTCCGGGCGGCCAACAAACTCATCAAGGAGATGGTGCAGGAGGTGATGGCCGAGCCAGAGCACGGGGAGGAGGGGCGTGGGGCTGTCCGGCGGGGCTGCGAGGGGGGTGCATGTGCCGAGGAGGGATTCCGTAGTGACCCAGCCGAAGGGCCGTCACAGCAGTGGAGGAGCTGGCTGACCGCGGGACCCCAGTGGGCTGAACCAGGACCACTGTAGGGGGAAGAATTCCCAGCAGCCAAGTTCACCTTCCCTGGATCTTTTCCATAAAAATTAGGAATAAATTAAGCTTTACTACATTTAGAGAGAGAGAGAATAATGTATGTTTAATTTATAAATAAATACAGATGCTCCTTGACTTACAATGGGGTTACATCCCATAAATCCATTGTAAGTTGAAAATGTTTTAAATCAAAAAAGTGTTTAATACACCTAAGCTACCAAACAGTATAGCTTAGCCTAGCCTATCTTAACCCCTAGAGTGCCGGGAGCGCGACCGCGCTCCTCCTGTCTTTCGCCAAAAGTGCCAGGGAGCGCGACCTCGCTCCTCCTGCAGTGTCCAGTTCTAAGTCTGCTTTTATTACTGATGATGATATCGCTAAATATGTCATTTCTTGCTATGAAGATGACGATTTTGTGGAAGATATTGAATATGTAACTTCATTTACTTGCGATTCATAATTTTTTTCCTAAACTGCTGTAAAATCAGCAAAAATGCCTTGGCAATTTTAGCATAGTTCCTAGGATATTGGTTGGCACTCAAAGGGTTAAATATGCTCACAGCACACATTAGCCTACAGTTGGGCAAAATCATCTAACACAAAGCCTATTTTTGACTACCATGTAATTTATGCATATCGTTTTCACACCATCATAAAGTAAAAAAGTTGTAAGCTGAACCATTATAAGTTGGGGACCATCTGTATACATGTACCATGGGTGCATGCTGAAACATTTTTTTATTGATAAAGACAAGTTCTCAAAAAAGTTTGCAGTCTGGAGACTCAGAGGGCAGAAGCTCTGGGTTGTCTCTTAAAGTCAGGCTGCTCTGACAGCCAAGAGCAAGTGCAGGGTGGCCCCTCCAAGGAGAGTGACGTATCCCAAGACGGCACGGCACAAGCCCTCCTTTCGTGCCACAAGGGAGGAACGTGTGTAGTAAGGAGAGTTGGCCTGGGTAGCAGGGGCACTTCCTGCAGCGCCTTTCAAGGATGAGTGCCCATCCATTTGCCAGGACTAACGACATTGGCAGGGGTCACTGCACTGGCTTCCAGGTTGCACTTGATGGCCATTAAGGTCTTTCACTCTCAGGTACCAGAACCTCCTTTCAAGAGACAAACACGAGGAAGGCAAGGCTCATGTAGAACCACAGGTGTAGTAGGTCTGGGCCCTGGTCCTCCAGAATCACCTGGCAAGTGTGTTAGAGACCCAGATTCCTGGGCCATCCCTGGAGACTGGCTGAGGGCCTAGGACGTTCTTAGGGGCCCATGCAGACACCTGGGTCCAGGGGGCACTGGCAGGAGGAGAGGAAACGAGGAGGGTTGGCTGAGGGCTTCTTGGACCAGAGTCCCCTACTCCGGGCATGAGGGGCTCTTAGCAGTGTCTGCCTTGACACCCAGCCAGCAGGCCCTGGGAACAGAGTGGTGTGGGCAGTGCTTGGCTCGGGGCTAGGCCTGACCCAGCTCTCAGGGGCGTTTGCCGATGCCTCCCTAGGACCAGAAGCGGATGGAGAAGATCTCGAAGCGGGTGAGTGCCATTGAGGAGGTGAACAACAATGTGAAACTGCTGACGGAGATGGTGATGAGCCACAGCCAGGGCGGTGCTGCAGCCCAGAGCAGTGAGGACCTTATGAAGGTGTGCCTGTCTCCACCCTGTCCCAGTCCACTCAGCCAGCCTGCAGCCCTGACCTGCCCACCCTACTGCCCCCAGGAACTCTACCAGCGCTGTGAGCGGATGCGACCCACACTCTTCCGACTGGCCAGTGACACAGAGGACAATGACGAGGCCTTAGGTGAGCCCCAGGCAGAGCTGGCTCATCCCTTTATCTACTTCCCCCACCTCTCCCAGGGCCTGCTGAGTACCTGCAGTTAGCAGGAGCTACCACCAGGGGGCCCCTTTCTCCAGCATTGACCTTGGGTTTCTCCTAGCTGAGGAAGAAGGAAGCGGGGAGCTGATCTGATATCCTGAGAGACCCTGGGCCAAGCCCCTTCACAGACACCTCATTTACTGCCCACAAGCCTCACAGGAGGGAAAATTGCCGCCATCTCACAGCTAGCGCTGGGCCGGGGGAGGAGGTTGGGAGGGGGGGATGTGACTTGCCCAGATCACAGAACAGAGGCAGAACCAGGGTGGAACAGGGTTCTCCCTGCAGACACTGCCTCCCTGGTAAGGGCTACAAACTGAGAGCGGATCCCACAGGCTGGGCAGTTCCAGAGCTGAGCCTGTGGCTTCTGCTAGGGCCACGTAATCAGGTTCTCATCCTATTCTCTGCTACCACATCAGCAGGGCCTCTTGGGCGGCGGTCTGGGTACCCTCTCAGCGCCTCCCATGGGCCGGGGACCTGGTCTCCACCAAGAGGCTCGCTGTCCAGATCCCTCAAAGCCCTGGCTCCCCAGGCGGTGATACTGACAAGGGCCTACTGTGTGCCAGACACTGCTCTAGGCCCTCGGGGATGTGGCAGTGATCAAAATGGACACACGCCACCACCTCATGGAGCTTGTAGCCTAATGAGAGGAGACAGACAGTAAGCCCACGTGAGCAGTGGCAGTTTGTCAGGTGGTGCTGAGAGACATGGAGAAAAACAAGTGGGATTAGAGGAGGCCCCCCCAAGGTGACCTGGGTGAAGACCTGAAGGCAGGAAGGGAGGAAGCACGCCGAGATCTGGGGCATCGACAGCAGAGCCGTGTGGAGGCCTGGAGCGGGGCCGTGCACTGAGTGCAGGGGCTGGCACGGGGCAGTGTGGAGGGAGCAGTGGACAAGGGTGACCGAGGGCCTGAGTCTGAGTAGATGAGATGGGATGCCCGCCGCCCCACTCCCTCACGAGGGCTGCTCATCTCCCCACAGAGGCCCCACATTCCTTCACACTGGCCTCTCCCTTTCTGCCCATTCCAGCGGAGATCCTGCAGGCCAACGACAACCTCACCCAGGTGATCAACCTCTACAAGCAGCTGGTGCGGGGCGAGGAGGTCAACGGAGATGCTGCTGCCGGCTCCATCCCTGGTGAGGAGGCGCAGGAGATTGGGAAGGGGCCCCCAGGCTGGAGGGGACAGCGTCTAGGGTGGTGCACTGGTCCCAGAGCCGCTAGCAGTGACCACCAGGGTGACCCTGGCCCCTTAAGATGGGGAAGGCCCCCAGGGAGAGAGTCTGTGCCACGCCTGCAGCTGTGGGAATGGAAGTCTGGATGTGGGACGAAGCGGGAGGGAGCCGAGGGTTTGGCGAGGACAGGCAGAAGGAGGAAGACCTTTTGACAACTCGGACACCTCTGTGCAGGGCTGGATGACACCCCAAGGCTTAGTCTCATCATCAGAAGTGGTAGGAGGGTCTGACACACAAACAGGCTGATTGAATAAGGGTAAAACGCCAGCTCTGGGACCCACAGAAGAGGGGGAGGGGGAGGCACTATGCAGAAGCAGTAGAGTTTAAGCAGGGCCTTAAGGGTGGGAGGCAGTTCACCAAGTAGAAGCAAATCTGTTCCAGACAGAAGGAATAGCATGTGCTGAGGAAAGGGCTCGGTGGGCAGATTTAGGGGCAGGGGCCGTGTGGCCAAGGAGTGGGAAGCAGGGGAATCATTAGGCGGGGGGGGACAGCTGCCCCTCAACCCCCATGGACTCTGAGAACCTGAGCGTCCTCCCCAGGACTTGCCTGACTCTCCTTTCCCACCCAGGGAGCACCTCGGCCCTGTTGGACCTCTCAGGCCTGGATCTCCCTCCTTCAGGCACCACCTACCCAGCCGTGCCCACCTGCCCTGTCACCCAGGGCAGCTCCGAGCAGCCCAGCGCCTCCATTTCCCTGCTTGATGATGAGCTCATGTCTCTGGGTGAGGATGGGCCGGGCCCGGGGGGGGGGGGGCAGGCTCAGCTGCAGGCGGGGCTGGTGCCTGTGCACGAGCTGCTTGCAGAGCCTGGTCAGGTCAGCGTGTGAGTCCTCCCCTGAACGCTGTGGAGCTCCCCAGCCAGGAAAGGGAATGGGGACTTGGGGTGAGGAGTGAGACGAGGGGGACAGTGGGCCAGGTTCAGTTCCCCTCTCTGGGCATGTCAGCGTACCCTTCCTGGGAGGGTCTGCCCACAGGGCCGCTTACACACCCACCTGCCCCTCTCATTCAGAGCCAGAGGCCCTGCCCTGTCTCACAGAGCGGGGTGGGCGGCAGCCACTGACGGCCCCGCTTGTGGGTGGCCGAACCCCCAGTGAGTGGCTGTGGCAAGCCACCTCTGGAGAAGCGAGGTGTGCTGTGCACTTCCTGTCCCCGCGTCGCTTCAGCAGAGGCCTGAGCCTCCAGCTTCCTCTGGTTTCTTCTCAAAGGCAAAGGAAATGTAGGAACAGGAACCAGCAGTGCCAGGGCGGCCCCCGCCCAGCTCTGGGACCACAAAGGGGGCTTTTCCTAAACGGTTCTGCAGCAGGAAGGGTGAGGGGGGCCAGGCTAGGCAGTGGGGACTTCCTGTGTGTCAGACAGCGTGCATCGCATTTATTACAACAGTCCTCCGATGTGGGTGCTGCTGCTGTGGGCACAGGGCGGTTGTCACCAGCGAGGGGTCACACAGCTGAGTGGCAGAGCTGTACTCAAACTCCAGCCAGTAGACCGTGCTCTGGCCAAGTCTAGACTCGGCCACTTTCCAGCTCTGTGGCCTTGGACAGATTACTTAGCCCCTCCGAGCACCTGTTTTCTCATCCCTAAAAGAGGGATGAGAACCACATTCCTGCCTTGTAAGCTGGGTTAAGCATTAAGTGAGACCCAGGGCTGAAGTGCCTGACACATCAGGGGGTGTAGGAAACGTTACCAGTTACCACCGTGGTGTCAGAGGTGTGGCCTGCGGAAGGGAGCCGATAGCCACAGCTTCCTGCGCTTGCCTTTGCCTGTCACAGGCCGGCCCTCACTTGTTCAGGATTTGCTAGAAACAGGATAACTTGTCTTCTGTCGGTGAAGTCTGGGTGAACCTGGCCAGAGTGGGCTCCAGGGCAGGCAGAGGTCAGACTGGTTGGGGACCTGCTGCCTTCTACCGATCAGCAGCCTTCACAGCGCCCACAGCTCTCTGGCACCAGCAAGCCAGCCTTGCTGGCATGTGCCATGGCGGATGGGGCCTTCACAGTCTGCCCCAGCCCACCTGCATTGTGCCCATGGGCCACTACTGCCCAGCCAGCACCTTGCCCCGGCTGCTCCGACTCTGGGCTAGGCCCAGGGCCCCAGGCCCCGTTCACTGTCCCACAGCGCCCTTCGGACACTCAGAGGGCATCCCTGCAGTCGGTCGGCAGGGTGCTGCCCCCTGGCCATCTGGACCTTGAGGTCAGGAACCCCACTTGGTGTCTCCCACCTCCTGCACTGCTCCCCACCACCAGCAGCAGCTGCCAGCTGGTGGTGCAAATGGAAGTCCTGACATCTGTAGTTGGCTGGGCTTCTGAGCAGCAGCAGAGGAAGCATGTGTGGCCGGGAACAGGCTGTGGGATGTTAGCTTCTCCTTCTGCTCTGTGGCTGGCTCCCTGTGAGAGTGCTGACGTGGGCTTTTCCCCTTTGAGCTGAGCTTCTCGGAGGAAGGAGTGCAGCGGGGAGGGTAGGAGCCAGGGACCCCAACCTATCACACCGGAGCCCCATGTCTCTCGCCTCTGCTCAGGGATCCAACTCCTTTATCTCCCTCTTGCTTCCCTGCAGGCCTGAGTGACCCCACACCACCTTCAGGCCCAAGCTTGGAGGGTGCTGGATGGAACAGCTTCCAGGTAGGAGGGCCCGGAACTAGCCTGACCCTTCCTGGCAGCAGAGCACCTGGGTCAGGCAGCCAGGAGAGCAATGAGAGGAGATGAGCGGGAGGGACGGCCCAGGGCCTGAGGCCTCCATCCCCAGGTGGAGAACGGCAGGCGGTCCTCTTACCTCCGGTTCCCCTCCCTGCCAGTCTCAGCCTTGGGCCTCCCTTGGGTTGAGGTGGGGGCTCCTTATTCCTGTTCTCTTGAGGGTGATTTTGAGGTCCCTGGAATGTGAAGGCTTCTAGAGTAGAACCCAGACCAGGCCTGACCCACTAGTGACCCTGCAGTGAGAGGGGTCAGGCCTGGCAGGAAGGTGGTCCCATCCCTGCTGCTTCTTCCCCAGACGTCACCTGCAGGGAGGGGAAGGGGCCTCCTTTTCAGCACCACCTCACCCACCTGCGTCCTTTGTATGCCCGACAGTCATCTAATGACGCTGAACCCCCCGCCCCCGCTCCAGCACCCAGCACGGACAGTTGGCACCCCGTTCAGACATCCCTGCCAGCGAGCAGTGGTCTGGATGACCTGGACCTCCTGGGGAAGACCCTGCTACAGCAGTCACTGCCCCCGGAGTCCCAACAAGTGCGGTGGTGAGGGCACACCCTGGCTGGCATGGGGGGAGCCCTCTCTGTCCCACAACCAGACCCGGCAGGGAGAGGCCCAGTGCCAGTGCGTTCCTGTGAGCAGTGGCTGCAGAGCACCGCCTTGTGCCAAGCACTGCACTGGGTGCAAGGGTGGTACTGGGCCCGTCCCAGGGCATGGAGTTTATGAGAGAAAGGGGACCTGTGCCCCACTCAGGCGTCCCAGCACCTGAGAAAGATGGAGGGCCAACAGTGAGGAGGACGGGAGGGGGAGGGCTGGGAGAGCTGCCCATTTTAAGGTGAGGAAACCAGGGCCAGAGAGACAGGGAGGTGTCAGGGACAGTCAGGAAGCCCATCTTCCCTGGGCCCCTGGTCTCTTGGTCACCGAAGAGTCACCTCTCAATGCACCGCCCTCCAATAAGGGAGAAGCAGCAGCCCGCCCCCCGGCTCACACTCCGGGACCTGCAGAATAAAAGCAGCGGCAGCTCACCCAGCGCCAGTGCCGCCAGCCTCCACAGCACGTCCCCTGAGCCCCTGGGGCCTCTGCAGCAGCCCACACAGACTGAGCTCTCGTTGGCCAACATCACTGTGCCCCTGGAGTCCATCAAACCCAGTGAGTAGGGCGGGGCACGTGCGGGTGCAGGCTGGGCCAGGTCAGCTCACGGCCCAGCAGCACCACCCACCGCGTCGCCCCTCCAGGAGCTCTTTCTGGGGGACAGGTGGGAAAGTGGGCCTTTCTTCCCAGTCCTTTCTGCCCTGCCTGGCTCAGCAAGGAGCTCTGGGCAGGACCCTGCGCAGCCGTCTCCTCATCCATCCCAGAGTGGCCCAGAACAGCCATATAAACTCCAGGCTCACCCAGGCAGCAGACTTCCGATGGCTGGCCCCCGGGACACAGGTTTGGGGTCTCCCCAAGATCACAAAACCAAACTGAGATAAAGATCCAGGTCTGGGTCTGGGCTTCTCCCGCCTGGGAGCAATAAGGGGCCCCCAGCAGCACAGGCCCTGCACAGACAGATAAAGATGCCCAGCCTCGTCCATCCGTGGCCAAGGGCGTCACACTTCCTGTGTCCCGGGAGGTAGGTAGTGATGCCCCATCTTACCAGTAGGGAGGCCCTGAGCAGCGGAGTGGCTAGACCAGGGTCACACAGTGAGACAGGACCCCACTTCACCCCAGCATGCCAGCCAGCAGCCGTGCACGGACTGGCAGAGCCCTGCATGGGGCTCCGTTCCCGGCTGGGTGTCTTGCCTCCGCCATGACACGGCACGTTCACCTGCCTTCCTGGGCATCAGTCTATACCCCTGGCTGCACTGCTGCCCAGGGTCGAGGCGAGGACCTAAGTTTGTGGGTTCATTCCCAGCTGAGCAGGAAGACCTGATGTGAGCCGGGTGTGGGGAGCTGGTCGATGTGCTTGGGCTCGGGCCCAGCACCACCCATTGCCCTCTGCCCCTCTCCCCTGCAGGCAGCATCTTGCCGGTGACCGTGTACGACCAGCATGGCTTCCGGGTCCTCTTCCACTTCGCCCGAGACCCGCTGCCTGGGCGCTCCGACGTGCTGGTGGTGGTGGTTTCTATGCTGAGCACCGCCCCCCAGCCCATCCGCAACATCGTTTTCCAGTCAGCTGTCCCCAAGGTGACACTGTCATACCTCCCTCCTCTCAAGGCCGGGTGGCTCCAGGCTAGACGGGGGCCAGCTGGGAGTGGGGACTCGGGGTAAAAAGGAACCAAAGGACAGAGCCCCAGGACCCCCCGAAGAGGAGCTGGCGGGCAGGCTGGGCTTGGCTCCTCGGGATGGAGAGGAGAAGCCAGGGCTAGCTGGGCCCGTCCTGCCCTCCTGTCCACAGGTCATGAAAGTGAAGCTGCAGCCACCCTCAGGCACAGAGCTGCCGGCGTTCAACCCCATCGTCCACCCCTCAGCTATCACCCAGGTCCTGCTCCTCGCCAACCCCCAGAAGGTGAGGGCCCAGCTGGGATGGGGCACTGCTGTGGGGTGGGGGCAGCCTCCTCTCCACCTCTGACCCTCTGCCTTCACCGTCTCTGCCCCAGGAGAAGGTTCGCCTCCGCTACAAGCTCCTCTTCACCATGGGCGACCAGACCTACAACGAGATGGGGGATGTGGACCAGTTCCCCCCGCCCGAGACCTGGGGGAGCCTCTAGAACAGAGAGGGGAGGGGAGAGGAGGAGGGGGCAACGGGACTGGCCACTGGCTAGCCTGGGCAGGAGGCTGTGGTGGCCGAGGACACCCTTTGTCCCCATGGCCATATCCCCTGTGCCTGGTGCTTCATCCCTCACCCCTGTGCCCCCCTCCTTCCGTAACCCCTCCCCTGCTGAGCCAAACCCAGCAGGAGGCTGGGCCTGGGTTTGCACTGCTGGGGACTTCACCACAGGTGGGAGCCTGCCGCAGGGGAGCGCTGTGGCCCTGGAAGGACTTGGGGTCCTTGGGTGAAGCATGGCTGCCGGGCAGGGGCCGGGACCTCAGGCCCAGCCCGACCCCAGCCTAGGGGGGGGGGTCATCCCCGCCCGTCTCTTATGCCTTATGGGAAGGCCCAGCCATAACTGGGAGCCACGCTGGAGCCAGGAACCAGCTTAGGCCTCCTCCATAGGAACTGGGTAACTGTGGGTGGTGAGGCCTGCACCCCCAGCTGTTTGCACTCTCTGGTGTGTGGTTTGACTCAGCTTTTATTTCTGAGTGGCCCTGTGGTCACCATCTCAGGGGGCCCAGTTGGGGGAGCCCCACCTGTCTCCTCCTCCTCCTGGGGGTCTCCCTCTACAGGCCTGGCCCCTTTGCTCTCAGGCCTCCTGAGGAGCTGTGGGGGCCGTGCAACTGCTGGCCCAAGGGTAATGCCAGAGGCAGGTGGCCCCACTGGGGGCCCCAGGACTCTGGCCCAGGGAGGGCCTGCACTGGTTCTCAGAGTCCCCTTCATTCCTGGGCCTCTGCTGGGCCTCCTGTGGGTGTCTCGCCTCTGTCCATCTGTTTATGGGCAGGAGTGGTCAGTGTGTGAGTGAGAGCAGGAGTATTTATGGAAATAAAATGTCCTTTTTCCTGGACCAGCTCTCGTAGCCCTTCTGAGGTGACGGGAAACGGAGACAGGAGGGGTCCCAGGGCTACCCGGCAGGCCTCTCGGCCTCTGCGTTTGGCGCTCAGGCCATGGTTCCTCTCCCCACCATCCCTGAGCCCTGCACAGGAAGAGGCCCTGCTTACGGGCCTGTGGCCAGTGCTGAGTCACCAGAGAGGGCTCAGGGCTGTGGCCGGCGGGCGCAGAGCCGTCCCAGCTGGAAAGGAGCAGCCCTCACTCTGCTTGCTCCGGGCCTGCCAGGAGCCCTGGCTGCTCACAACTTCCTCCTGCTGCACTCAGCTCTCATAACACAACTGTGCTGCAGCCCCGCCCCGGAGGTCCGCCTCGGCCTTGCTTCTCCCTTTCCCCAGACGCTGCTCCCAGGAAGCAAAGCGCCAGTTGCAGCTTGTTTCTGGAGAGGCCCAGGGACCCTGCACTGGCCCCCTGCCACTCCCCGCTGCAGCGCACTTCCCCTGCTGTTAGCAGTTTCTCTTCACTGGGAGGCTGGGGTCCAGGCCCCGGGAGTGGCTTAGAGGCTGCGGCTGAGAGAGCCGGTGCTGAGCTGAGCGGGAGGGGTTAGTAGCTCCACGCTGCTCTGCAGGAGAGAGTTCCTGTTCAGTAGTCTGGGGAAGGCTGCCCGCCATTTCTGCTCCTAGCAGATGATGGGAAGCCCTGCTTTAAGCAACCAGTTTCACTTTGTCTAACCTAGTGTTCCCCAGTCTGAACTTGGCCACCGAGCCCCTTCCTTAGATACTATTGAAATGTGCTGGAGAACAGCCCAGCCCGCTGGTTTTCAGAGCCCTGCACATCCGACTCCCCAGCTTCTCCCCAGCAACGCTTGGGCAGGGGGGCGCTCCTGTGGCAGGGACACTGAAGGGCAGAGGGGCAATCCTCACCTGCCATGCTGCCGAGGGGACAAAAGTGGCACTTCCACTCACCTGCTAGAGCCTTCCAGCATCCCCTGGACATGCCCTCCCAGCTGCCCCCCCCCCCGTCCCCCCCCCTCCTCCTCCTGCCCCCAACCCGGGCAGAGCTCCTGACTTGTGATGTCTCCAAGACAGTCTAGTTGGAAGGTCCTTCCTTCTAAATGAAACAACCCTATTTCCTGCAAGGCCCCGGGGTCCCAGAGGCACCATCTGGAGCTGAGTCTCCTGCTGGCCCAGGAAGGCTGCGGGCTGCGGGGATGTGTGTGACTGCAGCTGGCGCCGGGGGCTGCTTCCGGTGGGTTCCCTGGCTCGCTGTGTTACTTTGAGCAAGGCCCTTGCTTCCCTGGTCTTTAGGTTCCTTGCTTTAAAATAGTGGTGGGGAACGTCCGGCCTGCGGGCCATAGAAGGCCCAAGAAATCATTAGGTCTGGCCCTGCCAAAACGTTAGGGGCGAGTTAATTAAGTGTTTGACCAAATATAGCAGGCTAATTTTTAAGTTGATAATTGTGTATGGCCGCGAAAGATGTTATAAATATCCAGATGGCCCCTGGCAGAAAAACAGGTTCCCCGCCCCTGCTTTAAAAGGAAGTGAGAGGGACCCTGTGAGCTGTAAGGACCCTGAATAGTCTGGGCAAAAGAAGATTGCATGCACAAGCAGCCCAACTAATTAGGGCTGGGCTCAGTGGGCTGAAGGTTGTGGGTCCGATTCTTGTCAAGGGCATGTACTTCGGTTGCAGGCTCAATCACTGGCCCCAGTTGGGACACCTGCAAGAGGCATCCAACTGATGTGTCTCTCACATCGCTGTTTCTGTCTCTCCCCCTCCTTCCACTCTAAAAATCAATGGAAAGATATCCTCGATTAACCAAAAAAAACCCATATCCCAGACTGTCAGCTTGGGATGACCCAGATGTTCTAGGGACAGGGAGATCCCTTCAGTCGTTCAGACCTCCCACCTTCCCTCATTTGTAGTCTATTCATCCAAATGTCTGTCCGTCCTGCAAGTGCCTCTTGAGTAGCCCCTGTGCCAGGCACTGCCCTGTCCTCAGCTCACAGCCTGGCATGGAACCTGTGAGCCAGGAGCTCAGCATGACATGCTGAGAGCCGGGAGGGGATGTGAGATGCCCAGCAAGGCCCGAGTCTGTGTGTGTGTGGGTGGGGGGGGCGGGTGTCCTAGTCAGAGGAGGGGACCCTTGGCTTCTACTCCCTGGAGCAATCATTCCCCAAGTTCCGTGTGTCAATTCAGACAGAGGCGGGGAGCCCAGCGCAGGAAACCCAGAGCCTTTGGAGTCCGTGGGCTGGAATGGGGGGCACAGGAAGGGAGTGGGCTCTGCCTCTTGAAGGGTGACCCCACCGCCACCCCAGGAGCAGTGGGGCTTCCCAGACCTGAAGCCACACTTCCACTTCTATTTGTGGGGCTGGAGGCAGCAGCTCGTGTGTTTTTTTTTTTTTAGCAACCGCAGCACACTGCTCATCCGCTCACGGCAGCCAAGAGAAACAGGCTGCTGCTCGCCTGGGGAACCTGCCCCCAGCCGCTGCGGGCCTCCTGGCCAGGGCACAGGCACAGCAGGCAGGTGACGGGCCAGCCCGAGGCCTGGCGGCAAACTAGACCTGCTGCAAGCAGCCTCTCCCTCAGTCCTCACAGCTGCCCTGTGAAATGGGAAACAGGCTCGGAATGAATAAAGGCCACACGTTGTCATGTACTTTATTTAGCACATCCTCCAGGGACATTGGTGTCCCCATTTAGGGCCCACACCATGGCCACCTGCCTTCTGAGCCTACACACCTCTGTCGGCTGCTGTCCTCTGCGGCTGGGGTTAAGGTGCAGGCTCTAGGGCCATCGAGTTGTGCTGGAGGCCTTGTGCCCCAGCCCCACCCCAGTGTTTCCTGGGAGGCAAGGAAGTTTCTGGAGCCCCAGCAATCATACCACATGCCTCACTGCTCTGGGTGGAAGCCTCCACTCAGAGGGCAGCACTGATCTGGCCAAACAAACAATATGTCAAAGTGTCTAAAATGAGAGATTCTTGCTCAGTCCTGCGGCCCCACAGATGACCCCTGCTACCACCACTGCACTGCCCCAGCCACTCGCCATCCTGCCCACATCCTGCTCTAGCTTCACAGCAGACACTTCCCAGGCTGTCACATTTTCTCAGCCTGTACTGAGCCTCTGGGCTCAAAGCAGCCACAGGGATTCAGGTGGGGGCAGGGGCCAGCATTTCTGGGTCTCCAGGTGGTCCCTCTAACACAGCAGGAGAGCACATGGGGGCTTTGGAGATCTGGTGTCTGGTCTGCTTTCTAACTTGGTCTCTACCACTTACCCAGCTAGGAACCTTGGGACAAGAACCTCAGTCTGCTCACCTGTAAAATGGGGGCAGTACCAACCTCACTGGAAGATGGGCTAAGTACAGTGGGGCCTTGACTTACGAGTGTCCCGACTAACGAGTTTTTTGAGATACCAGCTGTCTCTGGGCCGATTTTTTGCATTGAGTTGATAGAGTAATTTGAGTTAACGAGCTCAGTCTTGGAACAAATTAAACTCGTAAGTCAAGACCCCACTGTACATGACAATAAGTGCCATTGTCCCAGGGCAGCAGGACACGTTTAGGGGCAACTGAGGCAGGAATGGGGGTACAGGGTCTTGGCATTCCCGGCTCTGCAGGCTGAATGGGAAACAGGGCCAGGCACCGTCCTAAGCACTTAACATATTAACTCTTTCACTCCTCAGCAGGTAGCTGCTGTTGTAAGTCCCACTTTACCAAGGGCATTGAGGCTCAGAGAGGTAAGCCACCTCACCCAAGGCCACCCAGCTAGTGAGAGGCCGAGCCCAGCCGGCTGGCTCCATGCACACCCTTAAGTTCAGTTCTTGCTGTCTGCTGGGCTGGAAATAAGTGTCCATTGATGCAGAATCTTCATCTGTGATTCGAGTCAGCTGTGTTTTTTGAGCAGATTGCGGAGGCTTCAGCAGGAGCCAGACAGGACTCAGGTTCCTGGAGAGGAGACCCAGCAAGGTCAACACACCCTTGCAGCCCTCGCTAGTTTAGTTTGGCTCAGTGGATAGAGCATTGGCCCGAGGACTGCAGGGTCCAGGGTTTGATTCCGGTCAAGGGCACATACTATAGTTGCAAGCTGATCCCTGGCCTTGGTCAGGGCATGTGTGAGAGGCAACCAATCTATGTGTCTCTCTCACATCGATGTTTCTCTCCTCTCCCCCTCCCTTCCACTCTCTCTAAAAATCAGTGGAAAATATCCTTAGGTGAAGATTAACAGCAACAAAAACCCTTGCAGTGCAATGTGAAAGGTCCTGTGATTGGAATAGGGGTGGGCTGGCAACCTCAGGTCCCCTTCTGTACCTGCAGTTCTAAAACTACAACTTCAACACCCACTGATGGAAACTTCTGAGTCCAAAGATCTCTGGTTACAACATCCTTTGAAGGAACAGCCTGTGATCCTTCAACTTTTGGGGCTTCCAACCTTTTGTGATGCAACATCCAAGTGTGCTTGAACTTAAATATACCCTAAACTGTACCCCTCGCCTAGCCAAAAGGCACGGCACCCCACCCAGGCTGCACAGAGAAGAGCCAAGTGCCGTTCCTGTGGAGACTGGATGGGAGGGAAGCCTGGTGCTCACGTGGCCTGATTATACACGGCTCAGGGTGTTTCCCCAGCAGCTGCTGCTACAGCCCAATGGACTGGCTCCCCAGGCTGGAGCTGGGGCTCAGGCCTGGGCAAGTCTAGGAGGGACAGCAGTCGAAGCCAGGCCTTCTCCTCAGGGACCCCAGTGTGGTCCAGGCTGCAGATGGAGCTGAAACAGGGTGGGGACACCAGGTAGCCTGTAGACCTCCCAGACGGCAGGACGGTGGTAACCTGGTGTCAAGCTGCTGGCTCGGGAGTCTTCAGTTCCCCAGTTCTGCACACAGTAGGTTGTGCCCGCTGCAGAGAGAGGGAAAACAGCCACCACCAAGTTCTGGGTTCTGGCCAGTGAGGAAGGTGGAAAGGACAGGACTAGAACCCAGACATTGCAACCCAGCCCCACATTTTAAGAAGCCAGGTCTACACTGGACTCACGTCTCCCTTCATGAAGGCATTCTTCAAGCTCTGCTCCCTTTCCAGAATCCCCTCCAGGGGCTTCCAGTTGGGGCAAGGCAGGTGACATCTCCTCATCCTGGCCTGAGCCTTTGATCCAGGGGCCTCCAGCTTCTCTCACTCAGGTGGGAGCCTCTGGTTCAAGCAGCAACAGCTGAGGGTTTCCTTCTCCGTGTCCCACCTCCCCCCACCCCCCACCCCCAGGCCTACCTGGCTGTCCCTCTGAGGAGTGGAGAGGCAGCCAGAGTCCAGCAAGTGCCCACTGGGAGCCAGGCCCCGTGCTGGGCACTGAGATGCCTGAGGCTGAGGTCCTGCCCTGGAGAAGTGCCCAGTCTGCCCACTCACACAAGTAGGTGCTCAAGTAATCCTCAAACTGAACTGAAACTCCAGCAGATCAAAGTGCAGGGTTCTCCCCTACGCCTATCCCTTCTCCCCCCCCTCCCCCCCCCCAGCTCCTGATGTCTAAGGGGTGCAGAGGCTCCGAGTAAGGAGGGCCCACTGTTTCCCAAAGGCTCTCATCTTGTGTTAACTAGCAGGTAGCTATGGGGCACCTACTGTGTGCCCAACTGTTTCGTGTGCAGAACCAGATATACTAGTAACTGCTACTGTGTTTGGAGGGGCAGAGCAGCAACCATATCACTGCCCGTACCAGAGAGAAGGGCAGATGGAGGAAAACTGTTGGTGGCAAGCACTCTGGGAGTGTTGGCTGTGGCTGGAGGGGCACACATCCCCTTTAAAGGGGTGAGGGGAGCAGGAGCATGGATGCTGGAGGAGCGGGCAGAGATATCTTGTGTTATCAGACTGGGCCAGGACAGCTGGCTCATCAGGCCACCAGAGACATCAAGGCCAGAGTTCCAGGGACTTATCCAAGGGCACGCAGCAGCCAGATGACCCCAGCCGATTGCCCAGCAGGGAAGGAGCAGTCTGGGCCACAGACCCTGGGGGAGGGGAGGGGACTGAGTCCTGGCTGGTGGGAGGTCCTTGGGGGTGGGGGGGGAGTCCAGGGCAGCATCCTTGGGCAGGTCCAGCCACACCAGAGGTCAGAGAGGCCTCGTCTCCTAAGCATGGAACCCTTTTTCCCTTTGAGTGGGGTGCAAAGGTTATTCATACCCGGGGCGGGCGGGCCGGTGGGTGGGGCAGGAACCTGGGGCGGGCGCGGTGGCAGGAGCCGGCTTACCTGCTTCCCGCCACGGGACTGGGTGAGGCGGCCCAGGCGGAGCCGCGCACACACCTGTGGACGGGGCGGACGGCGGACCGACACTCTCCGGGACGGCCAGGGGCCGCGGGGAGCCCGGCAGACGGGGCGAGCGAGAACCCAAACTTGCAGAGAGGAGTGACCTGGGGGCCGAGGGCGGAGCCGCGAGCGGGGAGGCGGGCGCGAGCGGAGCGGGAGCGCGCTGGCCCAGGAAGCGCAGAGCGCCGCCCACCCGCCCGGCGAGAGCGCTGCGGGCACAGGCAGCTGGGCCGGGGGCTGCCGGCCCTCGACCCCCGCGGTGACCCCGCCGCCGCCAGCCCGCCCCCAAGATGATGAAGCGGCAGCTGCATCGCATGCGGCAGCTGGCCCACACGGGCAGTCTGGGACGGTGAGTGTGCGCCTGTCCCCTCCTGTCCCGCGCTCACCCCCGCTGGACCCGAGGGAAGGGGGAGGAGCGGGGGAGGCAGCTGGACCTCTGCTAACCAGAGCCCCGCCACCCGCCTCCCCTCTGAACGTCACCCCACCTCCCAGCTAGAGCAAGAGGGAAAGGCGCTGGCTTTTGAGGGAAGGGGCACCCCCCATTAGAGAGGGGTGCAGGGAGGATCGGAGATGCTGAGTCTCTCCTCTGCCTCCATGGGCCTCAGAGTGAACGCGCCTCCCTGGTCTCACTTGTCCCTTCTGAGCAATGGGGACAGCCGTCTCTGGCTGTCTGGTGGGGGAGGGGCGGTCAGGGCCCCAGACCTTGGGGGAGGGGAGGAGACGGCCCTGGCTGGTGGGAAGAGCCTGTTCCTGTCCCTCCGTGTGCCCCACTCCCCCAGCCGGAGGCCCGCTTCTCTGTCCTGCTTCTGCTTTCCCAGCCTCAGGTGGAAACGGCGCCCGGCCGCCCTGTTCCCACCCCAACCCCCGAGCTGGTGGAGTGGTGGCCGGAAGTTTGGGGAGCTCCCCTGGCCTGTCTTCTCTCCTCTTCCCCCTGCATTGGGTGCTTCCCATCTCTGGGCCCAGGGGAGGGGACGGGGTGCCCAGAGACCTGGTTCTAGTCTCACACAACCCGGATGCCTGTGTGGGCCTGGGCAGCCAGGCCACCTTGTGCTGGGCCTGTGTCCCCATGTGTCCCGGGCAGGGGCCCAGGGCCTGCCCACTACTACAGTCCAGAGTCCTGTGTGACTGACAGCCCAAGAACCCAAGCCCACACACTTCCCGTTCTTGGGGCCAGCCCAGGCCTCCTCTCCTCAGGTCAGCAGAAGAGAGAGGCTGGGCTCTGGGTGGCTCCCCCAGTCTCCCCTTTGGTTTCATCCGCCCTCTCTCGGGACTCAGCCCTGGGCGGAGGAGGAAAAGCCATGTATCCTATTGCTATCCCCATGGAATGTGCTCTGACTGGGATAAGGCAGGCGGGCCACCCAGGGCGGGCCCCAACTGGGAGGGGTGCTGGAAGCACCTGGGGTTCAGGTGCTCTGTTGGGGGGGCAAGGGGGTCCTAATCTGGGCCAGCTCAGCAGAAGCTCTCCCTCCACCCCCACCCTCCATCAGCACCCCGGAGACGGAGACTGCCGAGTTCCTGGGTGAGGACCTCCAGCAGGTACATGCCTGGGCCAGCTGCGGGTAGCAAGGCAGGTCCATGCAGGCTGTCACCAGAGGGCCGGGCAGGGACGCCAGTTGGGGGCCTCGGTTGAGTCATTCCCCAACCTGTGGGCCGTAGGGTCCCCAGGAGGAGGGAAGAGGAAAGGGGATCCTGCTCTGGGAAAGAACAGGGCAGTGGGGAGGGGGCAATAACCCCCCGGGATCCATAACCCCGTGCCCCTCCCAGGTGGAGCAGCGGCTGGAGCCAGCCAAGCGAGCAGCCCACAATGTCCACAAGCGACTGCAGGCCTGTCTGCAGGGCCAGAGCGGGTCGGATATGGACAAGCGGGTGGTGAGTGGGGGTCCCAGGGAGGAGGGGCCTAGCTGAGACACCTCTGTCCAATGGGGGAGTGATGTCGGGGGCTGGGGTCTCCCTGCCGGTCTGAGCCTCTGGCCCCAAGGGGGTGAAGACTGCTCTTTCCCAAGGCCCCTGGGCACCCCACTTGTGAGGCCCTCTGTCTTCCCCATCCCTTCTTGACCCCGCCCCCGTCTGCACCAATCCCCTGAGCCAGAGCCAGATTTCTGACTGCACCTGAACTCCTTGTCCAATCAGGCCTTAGAATGGAGCAGGCCCTCTCAACTGGGGCAATCTGTGAGGGCTTCTTGAAGGAAGTGGCATTTGAGCTGGATTTTGAGCGATACTCAGTGGTATTTGTCAGCAGCAGCATTTATGGACTGGTCACTGTTAGTGTGTTGCTAAGATGTGTCAGTGCAATGCCTTGCTCAATGCTGACAATGGAAGGAGGAGGCTGCTAATTAAAGCTCTTGTGCAGATGAGGAAATGGAGACTTACAGAGGTAAAGAGGCTCCCGCAAGGCCACCCAAGCCAGTAAGTGGCCAAACTAAGATTTGAACCCTGACCCTCGTGACCAAAGCTGGTGCTGCCTGTAACTCCAGGTGGGAATGGCTCAGGCATATTTGGAATCAGTCAACAATGAGTGTAGCCAGAGCTCTGGGGACAGGGGAGCCATAGGGGCGTGGAGGGTTTGCGTGTCATGGTAGCCGTAGCAGCCACCTGTGCCCGGGGCGGGGGAGAGCCACTCAGGCCTGTTTCCAGCTCCTCCACGCTCCCTCCAACTGTGTGACCTTGGCAGGCCCGTGGCCTCTGTTCTTAGTTTTCTAGTCCGTGATGGAATTTGGTCCCTCCCTCCACCCCCTTCAAGTGGCTTCTGGGAATGGGATAGGAGCTCTTTCCATGGCCCCAAGGAGAGGTCACCCCACCATGCCTTGTCATCACCCTGCTTCCACTCTCACCTGTGACTGTGGCCCTCCTGGGTTCCCTCCTCCCACCTCCGAGCCCAGTGCCTCGGTGGGGTTCTGCCCCCCGGGACACTCTGAGAGGGTGAAGGGAGGCCCAGTAGGCGGCACAGACACTCATGCTCACAGCCACCCTGCTCCTCCCTGCAGAAGAAGCTTCCCCTCATGGCTCTGTCCACCACGATGGCCGAGAGCTTCAAGGAGCTGGACCCTGACTCCAGCATGGGGTGAGCACGGACAGAGGCCTCATCTCTCACTGGAGAGGCCAGGGAAGGGTCTGGGCTGGGAGGGGGTCCGGGGCAGGGAGGGCAGCCACAGTGGAAGGATGACTAGGTAGGGGGAGTGTCTGGGCTGAGGACAGAGTCCAGGCCAGGGAGGGCAGCCAGGCCTGGGAGGGTGTTGGGCTGAAGGATGAAGGAGAGATCGAAGGGGCAGGAGGCGATGGGGAGGAAGGAAGCCCCACCTAGTCTTTCTAGATTGGGGAGAGGGGCTGTGGGAGCCTGGGCCCACTGGGTGCTGTGTCCACAGGAAGGCCTTGGAGATGAGCTGTGCCATTCAGAACCAGCTGGCTCGCATCCTGGCCGAGTTTGAGATGACCTTGGAGAGGGATGTCCTGCAGCCACTCAACAGGCTGAGTGAGGTGACCCCTACCCCTGCCCGCAGCTTCCCCAGCCTCCAGCTCCCACCTCCCCAGCCCACTCATCCCCGCCCCCATGCCTGCCCTAGGAGGAGCTGCCAGCCATCCTCAAGCACAAGAAAAGCCTGCAGAAGCTGGTGTCCGACTGGAATGCCCTCAAGAGCAGGTGGGAGCCCCAGCGTCTGGGCGGGGCCCATGCCTAGGTCGGCCCACAGAGGTGGCCACAGGGCTCCGAGGCCCTTCCCATAACAGAGGACAATGCAGGGCCCCTGGGTGCGGAGTGTGTACTGGTGTGCACGCCTGGTCCTAGGAACACATATGTGAGGGTACATGTAAGGGTGTCTCTGTGCATGTGTGTGTGCACGTGCTTATGCCAGCTGCAGTGACCCCAAAGCCTAAGATAGTCATAAACAATCCCAGGGGATCCCTGGATGGCAGGAGGGCCCCAACCTTCTACTCTGGAGTTGGATGGTTGTGACCACCAAGCCTACCACCAGGTGGCGCCCCCGAGCACTCATGGCCCAGGCCCAGTGGAGCTCTGGGATTTGCACCTATAAATCCCCAAATCCTGCGTTCACGCACATGAAAGGGACACTTGACTCTGGACATGCGATGGGGACAGTGACCACTCCACCTTGGGATCATCCCCAGGCTCAGCCAGGCAGCTAAGAACTCAGGCAGCGGTCAGGGCCTGGGTGGAGGCCCAGGCAGTTACGGCCACACCACCACGGCCAACAAGGTGGAGACGCTGAAGGAGGAGGAGGAGGAGCTGAAGAGGAAGGTGGAGCAGTGCAAGGTGAGGGGGCACTTGCGGTTCCCTGGATGGGTGGGGGTGGCAGGTGGGCACTGTTCTCATTTCATAGATGAGGAAAGAGTGGGGGCTCACCCAGGTCTTGGTGTGTTTGCTAAGGGAGTGAGTGAATGAATGGTGCCTGACACAAGGCACTGTGCTGAGGGTATGGGGACTCAGGTGAGGACTGGAAGCTGCAAAAGCCGCTCAGGAGTTCCAAGAGTTTCCCGTGGGCTGTCCCCAACGCTAACCTTGGCAGAGAGCGGAGAGCTGGCTGGGACCCTCCGCGCACAGCTGGAGCAAATTACTAGCCCCCCTGAGCCTCACCGCACCCCTGGGCCCCAGCCTCACTGACATAAGCCCTCCCCCCTCTGTCTCCAAGGACGAGTACTTGGCTGACCTGTACCACTTTGCCACCAAGGAGGACTCCTATGCCAACTACTTCATAAGCGTGAGTCCAGACTGGGCTCCAGCCACCCAGAGCCAGAGGCCACCGAGGCCCCCTGGGAGCCAGTGGGAGAGAAGGGGCTACTCTGGTGGAGGTAGGCTCCGCTTCCCTCACTCCCCGCTGTCCCCGCAGCTCATGGAGATTCAGGCCGATTACCATCGCAAGTCTCTGAGCTCGCTGGACACGGCCCTGGCCGAGCTGAAGGAGAACCACAGCCAAGCAGGTGAGGACATAGACCAGGGGTGGGCAAACTTTCTGACTCGAGGGCCACAGTGGGTTCTTCAACTGGACCGGAGGGCCGGAACAAAAGCACGGATGGAGTGTTTGTGTGAACTAATATAAATTCAAAGTAACATCATTCCATAAAAGGGTAGGGTCTTTTTTTTTTTTAGTTTTATTCATTTCAAACGGGCCGGATCCGGCCCGTGGGCCGTAGTTTGCCCACGGCTGACATAGACAGCCCCGACCCCACACCCCTGACCCCCACGGGCTCAGGCATGTTAAGAAGCTTGCACTCTATCCCTGAAAGGCAGTAGGGAGCCACAGATGGCTCTGAGCAGGGGAGGGCGCGATTAGATTTGTGGTGGAGAGATTGCTGCATGGAGGGTGGAGGGTGGAGGGTGGGGTGGGGTGGGGTGGTGCAGAACTGGAGCCAGGAGACCTGTTAAGAGGCAGAAGGGAACTGATGGCGCCTGAACTGGTTGGAAGCAGTGGAAGTGGGCAGATTCGAGAGATGTGTGGGATGGCTTCAGGGTGTGTGGCTGGGTGGCTGGGTGGCTGGGTGGGAGGTGGCACCGTTAGCCAAAGCAGCAGTCACTTAAGGATGTCTGGGGGTGCTCCTGGCTGCCTATGAGTGGAAGGACTCTGGGCCGCTGATCCATCTTGTCCCTGCAGAGCCCTCCCCTTCGATGACGGCCGCCCCCTTCTCCGGGGTGTATGGGGTGTCACTGGGAGCTCACCTGCAAGAGCTGGGCCGCGACATCGCCCTGCCCATCGAGGCCTGCGTCCTGATGCTGCTCTCTGAGGGCGTGAAGGAAGAGGTGGGACCCACTGGGGCAGGTGGGGTGGAGCAACGGGGCCACATCCTGTCCCAAACCTCCCCCCGCTGCTGCTGTGCCCGTCATCTGCCCTTAGAGCAGGCCCTGGGAGAAGGCATGGCCTCCTGTTGCTGACGTGGTACCACCCGCTTAGTGATGCTCATGTGGTCAGGCTGTAAGCCTTTAGCACCAGGAACTAATGATCCCAGTAACCCTTGGAAGGAGGCCTCAGTGGCTCCATTTTACAAGGGGAGGCGGCGATCAAGAGGTAGACGTGCCCAGCAGCACATGAGCAGGGGGCAGTGAAGTCATGGCTGCACCGGCCCTCATCCGTCCTTTGCACCTCAGTGCTGCTAGTCCATCAGCTCTTTTCCCGAGGACAGACCCTTAGGAGGTGGAACTACTCAAAGGCAGGCTTCCACACATCCTGCAGGGCCTCCCTTCCTCCCCTAACCAGACGCCTGTCTCCCCACGACTTGCCCCAGCCCCTCCCAACCTCCCCCTTGCTCAGAATCCAAGGGCCCTGGTGTCCACTCTGCCTGCCAGACCAGTGGGGACACAGGGCCAGGGAGGGCCAGCCACCTTCCCCAAGCCATGAGTGACACAGGGCCTTCCAGCCAGGGTGTCCTGTCCCACCCACCCCTCCGTGACCCTACATGGTCCCTCTCACGCCCCAGGGCCTCTTCCGTCTCGCCGCTGGGGCCTCGGTGCTGAAGCGCCTCAAGCAGACGATGGCCTCGGACCCCCGCAACCTGCAGGAGTTCTGCTCTGACCCCCATGCCGTAGCAGGTACCTGCTCCAAGGGTGGGCCCCTTCCCCATATCCCTTCGCCACAGCTGCCTGAAATGATCCCATGAAAGTTTGCTTTAAGGCCTGATAATCTGCCCAGAAAACATAGGGGTCCTGAAAGCGGGGTTTGTGATGAACCCCCTGAAGTGTATGTACGCTTTTCTGAGAACAAGATCACTAGCCTTCATCATTTTCTCTAAACGGCCCAAGAAGTGATAGACCTACACATGTTAGTATGCACAAGGACCAGAGGCCCTCACAGATGGAGAGAGCTGGGTACTGGGGTGAAGGTGGAGCCCTGGGCTGCCTCTGAGCTCACACCACCACTTCAGGTGCCCTCAAGTCCTATCTGCGGGAGCTGCCCGAGCCCCTGATGACCTTTGACCTCTATGACGATTGGATGAAGGCAGCCAGGTGAGGTGGGGGGGTGTGGGGAGAGGAGGCTGTAGAGGTGCCACCCTGGGCTGTCTCACCTGGGCTGTCCCCCTCCCCAGCCTGAAGGAGCCCAGAGCCCGGCTGGAGGCCCTCCAGGAGGTGTGCAGCCGCCTGCCCCCGGAGAACTTCAGTAACCTCAGGTGAGCCCAGGTCCACCCCGGCCCTCAAAGCCAGGCCCTGCGGGACTCTGGGGCCTGGGTTTGAGTCCTACCTCCTTGGTCTAAGCCAGCGGTTCTCAACCTGTGGGTCGCGACCCCTTTGGCGGTCGAACGACCCTTTCCCAGGGGTCGCCTAAGACCATCCTGCATATCAGATATTTACATGACGATTCATAACAGTAACAACATTACAGTGATGAAGTAGCAACGAAAACAATTTTATGGTTGGGTCACAACATGAGGAACTGTATTTAAAGGGACAGAAGGTTGAGAACCACTGTATTTCTGAAAACACAGCTTAAATGTACTAGTCATGTTTTTATTCTTCTATTATTTTTTGTTTTCAACATGGAACACTTCACAAATGTGCGTGTCATCCTTGCGCGGGGGCCATGCTAATCTCTGTGCTGTTCCAGTTTTAGCATATGTGCTGGGGAAGCAAGCGCGGTGCTAGTCAGATTTTTTAAGATATATATATTTTTAATTGATCTCAGAGAGGGAGAGGGAGAGAGGGACAGAGACATCAATGACGAGAATCATTGATCAGCTGCCTCCTCCACGCCCCCTACTGGGGATTGAGCTCCCAACCTGGGCCTGTGCCCTGGCCAGGAATCAAACCGCTGGGGTCTCAAGCAGACTATAGCCTCGGACCCCGGCAGCCCTCCTGACCCATCGGTTGACACTCAGTCACTGAGCAGCACCAGCCAGGCTGTACTAACCATACTTTTAATACTAGACACTGAACTAAACACACACTTTGAAGCCACACCACCTGGCTTCAAATCCACCTCTGTGGCTGTGTGGCCCTGAGCAGGCAAACTGGCCTCTCGGTGCCTGGGCTAGAGAATGCATAACAACCCCATAGATGCTCAACTTAGCTCAGCGCCTGACACGTAGGTGGCGCGCAGTAGGTCAGCTAATTTAACTATCAGAAATTTCTAACCAGCCTGTGTGCTGCCTTGGCCACACTTTGGCAACCCCATGCTGGGAAAGGCTCCGTCTCGGGGGACGTTGATGGGTGTTGGTAGCCCCTGCCCCGCCCGGGCCCCAGCCCATCTCCTGTCTCCCCAGGTACCTGATGAAGTTCCTGGCACGTCTGGCCGAGGATCAGGAGGTGAACAAGATGACACCCAGCAATATCGCCATCGTCCTGGGGCCCAACCTGCTGTGGCCCCCAGAGAAAGAAGGGTGAGCGGCCGTGGTAGAGGGACGGTGGCAGCCCCCTCCCCCCCCAACAACCTGCTGCTTGCCTTTCTCCTGGGCCTCGGTTTCCTCCTCCTTGGAATGGGTTGAGCAGCTCCTATTCTCAAGGCTCCATGAAGAGCAGCCCAAAGGGATCCTGGACCCACAGGGCTTTGGAGATAGCATTCTGGGTAATGACAGTAATGGTGTGCTGGGGAGGCTGGGAGCCTGAGATTTGGTTCTAGCCCTGCCTCCACCTTCCCGAGACAGGCCTTAGTAAGACCCTCTCTCCACCTCCATTTCCTCATCTGTAAATTAGAAATTACGCAAAGCCCGAGGACTCTGGCTGTGGGAATTCAGTGGGTAATGAGTGGAGGAATGCTGTATGAATTGTAAAGTGCTCTTGTATGTGAGAGGTCATGACTGTTCACCTGGCCAGACACGTTGAAGTTGATGTCTGCAGACAGAAGGAGCAGGCCTTAACTTTTAGTGTCTCCGCCAGCGCCCCCGCCTCCACCCGCGCAGCCAGTGCCAGGGCTGTGGAGGGCAAAGGGTGCCGTTCATTTGCTGAATGCAGTTCCTTGGTCGAGGCTGCCTCGATCCAAGAAGTGGGGAAAGCTGCCGGGACCGACTGGCGATGCCCGTCGTGTGTGAAGGACGGGAGTTCGGTGTGTGAGCGACATGTTTGCGTCCACAGTGTCTGTGAGCTTTTGGGAACAGGGACTGGATGTGACGGATTGGTCCTGTGCTCCCAGCGGCCAGCACGGGCCAGGCAGAGTGGGGGCCACTGAGACTTTGCTAAGTGGTGACTCACTTTCACCCCCTTTTGTCCCAGGGACCAGGCCCAGCTGGATGCAGCCTCAGTGTCGTCCATCCAGGTGGTGGGCGTGGTGGAAGCTCTGATACAAAACGCTGACACCCTCTTCCCTGGAGGTGAAGCCCCTGGCTGTGTGCCTGTGCCCCTCCGTGCCCTCTGTGCCCAGCTCGGTGCCCTCCAGACCAGCTTCTGTCCTGGCAACCCCATGCACTCCCCACGAGGCCTGGGGGAAGTTATTTCTCCACTCTGAGCCTCAGTTTCTCATCTGTAAAATGGGGGTGATCCCGCCTGCTTCCTGGTGCTCTGAGGCTCCTGTGGGAGTGGGAAGGCGAATCGTGGTCCAGACAATTTCTGGGAATAGGGAAAGCGGCCCCGGCACTGGCTGCATGGGGGGGGGCGGGGGGGGCGGCGAAGGGGGAGTGGGGGAAAAGGGGGCTGGCGGAGACCCTGAAAGCTAAGGCCTGCTCCTTCTGTCTGCAGACATCAACTTCAACGTGTCCGGCCTGTTCCCAGCCCCCACCCCCCAGGACAAGGTCAGCGATAGGCCCGCCTCTGAGGAGCTTCCAGCCATTGCCGTGCCGGCCCCGGCCCCGGCCCCAGCTCCTACCCTGGCCCCAGTGCCTCTCAAGGAAAGGTAAGGACTCACAGGTATGAACGGCCCCTGTCCCAAGGCACCAACGCGGCTTCCAGCAGCGTTTTAGGAAATGTCATTGTTGCATTTTTATCCCAAATACCAGGTTTCCCGGTTTGGAGTGGGTGGGTGGAGGCTCTGAGATGATATTCCTCTCGGCCTCTGACACGTTTCCTCGTTCGTTGTATGGCTGTTTACTGAGCACCTCCTATGTGCCAGGCACTGTTTCAGGCCACGAGGACGTAGGGACTAGAGAGCTGGTCACTGTGGAATGTGCAAGCACCTTCCGCCTTCCCTCTGATCCCTGAAATCTGAAAGGCCCGTGTGCCTCCCTGCCAAGCAGGGATCGTGCGGCTGTCGGGCTGCTGGGCCCAAACCGTGAGTTTCCTCCCGTGAGCAAGACAGACAAAGCTGCCCTTAGAGCTTGTGCTCCGGGGGCGGAGAGAGAATCAGCAAGTGCACCCGGAAAGGTCAACAAGGTCAGGCAGGGCTGCGTGCTGCACCGGAGAGCAGCAGGAGAGGGGCCCGGGTGTGTGTGGGGGGGGACCTGGGGGGGACTGCTGCAGCCCCGGGCTCAGGAGAGGCCTCCTGAGGGGGAGCCGACTGAGCAGAGACCTGGAGGCAGGCAGGAGACCCCCCTCTGTTCTTGTCCACTCTCTGGCTTCCAGTGGCCAGAACATCCGAAAGATCAAAAAGAGGCCAGCTGGCGTGGCTCAGCCATTGAGCCGAACGATGAACCAGGAGGTCACGCTGTGATTCCCCGTCAGGGCACATGCCCAGGTCGCGGGCTCAATCCCCAGTGTGGGGCGTGCAGGAGGCAGCCGGTCAATGACTCTCATTGATGTTTGATCTCTCCCTCTCCCTCTTCCTTCCTCTTTGAAATCAACAAAAATGTATGTTTTTTAAAAAGTATCACAAGGAGGCTGAGAGCCGAAGCGGAGGGGAGGCCCTGCTTCCTCCCGCGCTCCTGGCCCCACAGGGGACCACGGACACTGCGCTGAGTCGCACAGCAGCCAGGGGCTCTGGATGCAAACCCTGCCCCCGACGCCAGAGGCGTCGGGGGCAGGGGCAGCCTGGGGACGGGCCCCAGACCCAGCCACGGGAGGACCCACACTCGGCCCGAGGGCTGGGAGTCTTCCTGAGATTCCAGGAGAAGCTGGGAAATGGCCAAGCCCACGCCTGACCCTCCTCTTCCCTCACAGGACAGAGTCCGAGGTTCCCCCGAGACCGGCCTCCCCCAAGGTCAGCAGGAGCCCCCCGGAGGCAGCAGCCCCAGCGGAGGACATGGCTCGGAGGAGTGAGTTGGCCGTGGGAGGAGCAGGGTCAGAGGGTGGCCAGGGGTGGGCAATCCAGACCGTCCCCTGTTTTCAGGCATCGAGGGGAGGCCAGGAGGCCAGGGGGCTCAGAGCCAGTCTGTTGCCTAACACGCCGGGTTCAGAATCCAGCTCGGTGACCTTGAGCAAATGACTCCAGCTCCCTGCGCCTCCGTGGACAATAACTGTCCCTACCTTGTAGGGCTCTTTGGAGAATTAAATTCTGCTGTCTGGTTCATGCAGTAAATACTCCATAAAGGTCGGCCATCGTGAGCATGGGGGCAGTGGGGTCCTGAAGAAGCCCAAAGTCACAGGGTGAAGAGGGAGAACAGTGTTCGGCGCAGTGAGGGGGAGTGCTGGTGTGGGAGGAGACCTGGGCCTCCTTCTGAGCGCTTTGGGATACGCACCTGTTGAGTTGGCTGAAAGCCAGGCAGGTGAGGTTCAGGTGCAGAGTCCTGTGAGGCCCTGCCCAGCCCAGGAGGTTCTAGAGTTTTCCACGGGGGTACAGTGTAGAGCCGGGAGTAGGTGGAGCAGCTGCAGAGCCTCTAGACCAGCAGGAGCGGTGGGTCACACAGGAACCTCCCTGCAGGAGGCGGGCGTCTAGCCACCTTTCCTGGAGGCGGGGCAATGAGACATTTCCTCACTGGAGCACAAGCCAAAGGCCTGTCAGCATCACCTGAGCTGGCCCTCACGTCAGCCTAGGACAGTGGTTGGCAAACTGCGGCTCTCGAGCCACATGCAGCCCTTTGGCCCCTTGAGTGTGGCTCTTCCTAAGCCTTAGGAGTACCCTAATTAAGTTAATAACAATGTACCTACCTATATAGTTTAAGTTTAAAAAATGTGGCCCTCAAAAGAAATTTCAATCGTTATACTGTTGATATTTGGCTCTGTTGACTAATGAGTTTGCCGACCACTGGCCTAGGAGGTTGAAGAATCATCCCATCTTACGGATGAGACAACTGAGGCCCCAAGGGCAAGTGATTTGTGCAAATCCCTCAGTGGGTGGAGGCAGAGCTAGGACCAGAGTCCAGACCTCCTGGCCCAGCCAGTCCTTTGGCTGCCGTGGGACGTCAGACCCGCGCAGTGGGGTCTGTGCGCTGGGGCGGGTCGTTCTGGTGGCTTCTGAGAGGAAGTGAGCAAGACCCAAGTGTCCGGGGACAGGCAGCATTTCCTTATGCGACAGGATTGTGCGGAACACCTGCTCTGTGCCCGGCACTGTGCTAGGCAGCCACGCATCCGATGGCCGCACTTCGTGTATGTTCTAGTGGGAGAGGCGAGCAATAGTCAAGTAAAATAAAAAACAGGCAAGATCATTTCAGAGTAAAAAGCTCTGTGAAGAAAATAGAACTGGAAAATGGGATGGGTCGGGGGCAGTTCTCTAGCTGAAGGAGTGAAGGGACTCGTAGAGAGGCTTGTGATGAGGAGCCGCATGCACAGTGTTCCCGCAGAAGGAGCAGCAGACGCAAAGGTCCTGAGGTGGGACTGAGCTGGGGGGCTTTGCCACAGGCCATACGGACACCTCACTGCCCCTTTCCTTCCTCCACAGCCAAACGCCCAGCACCAGCCCGGCCCACCATGCCACCGCCCCAGGTCTCCAGCACCCGCTCCTCCCCTCCAGCCCCATCCCTGTCCCCTGCCTCTGGCAGTCCTGTGATCCCTCGGGCTCTGCCTCGCCGTCTGGTTGGCAGCAGCCTCCGGGCCCCCACAGTGCCACCCCCACTGCCCCCCATGCCCCCCCAGCCTGTCCGGCGCCAGAGCCGGCGTTCACCAGCCTCCCCCAGCCAGACCTCCCCAGGTCCAGCCTCCCCCAGCCCGGTCTCTCTGAGCATGCCTGCCCAGGTGGACCTGGGGGAGGCCACAGAGGATGCGGGGGGCCCTGAGGCTGTAGACGGCACCCCCACTCCCACAGCTGTGCCCCCTCAGCCTCGGCCCAGGAGTCTTGCCTCAGAGACCGACTGAACGGGTGGCCCCTCCCCAAGAGCCCTCAGTGTCCCCTCCCTTCCAACCTGTCCTCCCAGGACACAGCCCTCACCCCTCCCGAGAGGTGGGGGCCTCCAGCCTTTGCCTACAAGTGCCTCGGTGCCTGCTGGGTCGGCCCCCACGGCAAGGAGGGCTCAGGACAGCCCTCCACTTCCAGTCCTTTTCCTCTTGGATCCACCTTGGGCTTGGGCTCAGCCCACCCCCCACTCTCTGGCAAGGTCCCAGGGGAGCACCAGGAGGAAGGAGAGCTTGCCTGCTCCTACTAGGACTTCGATTTTTTTCTCTTGACAACATATTTTTTTGTAAGGCAGGTAAATAAATTATTTTGGACAAAACTGGAGCAGCTGCCCAAAAGATAGCTTTATTTTCTGTACTCGAAATAAAGAAGCCACTTTCATAAAGGGGAAATTTAGCTATTCTTTGCCTCCTTTCCTTCTTCCTGTCTGAAAGGATAATGGCTGGAGCTTTTCAGCACTTACTCTGGGCTGCACACTGCTTTTCTGTGCATGGTTTCCATTTAACCCTCTCCCTGGACAGTAAATCCCATGACCTCTTACAGGTGAGGAGACAGGCTGAGAACATGACTGCCGCGGTCACGGTGCGTGAGGCATGGACCTGGGATTAGGACCCAGGTCTGACTGATTCCAGAGCCTGGGCCTGCCCCTCACATCCCGGGCAATGGACTTAATATCTCAGTGTTCTGGTCTCCTCGTCTGGGAAACCGGTGACGGCTTCCACCGCAGAAGTGTTGTCTTGGTGACTAAATGAGACACGCCTGCAAAGGCCTGAGCACCGCCCTCCCACTTGACGCCGGGCCCCCAGATCTGCGGTGCTCCCAGGGAAGGTGGAGAGGTTCCCCCAGGAGCAGGGATGGATCTGTCTGCAAACCTTCCCAGAGGCTGCCCTGCCAGACCTGGGCGAGGTCCCTGACACAGCCCCAGCTGCTCCTGGGAACAGACAGGCAGAACTGATGACTTGAATCAAGTGCCATGACACTGGAAGCCCACACTGGCCTAATTAGGCACAAGCCATTAACCGGACTGGTGTGTATCTGGAGGGTGGAGGTCCCGGAAAGCTTCCTAGAGGAAGTGATATATCCAAGGGGAGTCTTTCCAGGGCTGACCAGGTGGGAAAGTCACGGAAGAACATTCCAAGCCATGGAGACACCTGTGCACCTGTGACAAAGGCCAGGACATTGGGGAACAGGAAATATCGTCTTAGGTTATAGGACGTGGCTCTTCCCAGGTCTTTGGAGCACCCGTTGCTCCTGGAGGGGAAACGGGTCTTCAGAGCCTTCTCAGACATCCCTCCCCGAGGGGGGCCTAGGCAGCTGGGTCACCCCATCACTGCCCTGGGCCTGGCCACTGCTGCTCTGGCTCCTTCCCCTCCTTGGAGTGCTTGGTGACAGCCTGCCTCTAGCCCAGAGCCTCTTCACCCTTCACAGTAGAATCCTTGATAATTAAAACAAAAACCAAAAATGCCAGGCTACCCCCCAAACAATTAAAGCAGACTCTCTGGGTTCCTACCACGTATTGGTATTTTTAAAAAGCATTTGTCAAAAGTCATCAAACTTTACACATAAGAACTATACATCTTACTGTAGGTAAATTATATCTAAAAATAATAAGTGCCCCCGGCGACTCTACAGTATAGCCAGCCTAGAGAATCACTGGTGTAGGCCAAGGGCCCCAGCGCTCAAGAAGACACCAGGCGTCTCTCTCCCCATCCTACCAGTTCAGAGGGCAAGGAGATTTGACCAAAGGTATCATCTCCTTTAGCATCTGTTTTCCTCTTAGCAACCCGCTCTCCTAAGCTTCTGATTGGCTGAGGGGCGCAGGGCTTATTCGCGCCACATTTTCTACTTCTAACTCGTTATTGGCCAAGAGGAGCGTCAGTCTCCCACCCTTTGGTGCCCTTCTCTCCAAGCTCTGTCTGCTCGCGGCCTCGCTCCTTAACTTTCGCCTCTATTGGCCGCGGGCCAGGCCGTAACCCCACCCCCTGGCCCATCCTGCGCGCCTATTGGCAGGTGCGAGGGGCTAGCGGGATGCGGGCGAGCGCACCGTGCCCGCGGAGAGAAAGCGGCGCGGCGCGGCGCGGCGCGGCGCGGGCGTGCGGGCAGCCAGCTGGCTGCATGGCGCGCTGCGAGCGGCTGTGCGGCCCGGCCCTGCGCGACGTGCTGGGCCGGGCGCAGGGGGTCCTGTTCGACTGCGACGGGGTGCTCTGGAACGGCGAGCGCGTTGTGCCGGGCGCCCCGGAGCTGGTGGAGCGGCTGGCGCGGGCCGGCAAGGCGGCGCTGTTCGTGAGCAACAACAGCCGGCGCGCGCGGCCGGAGCTGGCCCTCCGCTTCGCGCGCCTCGGCTTTGGGGGGCTGCACGCCGAGCAGCTCTTCAGCTCCGCGCTGTGCGCTGCGCGCTTGCTGTGCCAGCGCCTGGACGCGCCTGGCTCAGTGTTCGTGCTGGGTGGCGAGGGGCTGCGCTCCGAGCTGCGCGCTGCCGGGCTGCGCTTGTCCGGGGACCCCGGCGAAGACCCGGGCGCGGCCCCGCGCGTACGTGCCGTGCTCGTGGGCTACGACGAGCACTTTTCCTTCGCCAAGCTGCGGGAGGCGTGCGCGCACCTGCGCGACCCCGACTGTCTGCTCGTGGCCACCGATCGCGACCCGTGGCACCCGCTCAGCGACGGCAGCCGGACTCCTGGTGAGCGCGAGGGTGGGTGGACGACCTGGGCTTTCACCTCCCTGCCTGCAGGTGAGGGTCGGGGAAGGGGCGTCTCCAGGTGACAGGCAGGGGACTGGAGCATTGCTAGCGCAGCTACAAGCCAGAAAGAGCCCAAGGTGCTTTCGTGTCAAGGTCTGGTCATTCTTGCAGCCGCCACACGGTAAGGGGCAGCAGTGGTGTCCTTGTGTGACAGACACGGAGTCCACGTACCCCTACTCCCAGCCCTATCCTTCCTGAACCAGCCCCGAGGAATCCTGTCATTTTGTCTCACCCGCCATTGGGGTGAGGTCGGAGATTTGAGGACAAAACCCGGAAGGATCGTCTTGCTGTGGGAGAGTTGGGACACCATGTCCAGGGGCAGGTGTGCAGGAGCGCAGAAGGTGGTTGGAGTTTGACCTGAGTCCAGCTCCAGTCCAGGGCCCTGTAATCTTTTCGGTTACATAACCTCAGATCGGCTCTCCTGGCTGTGAAATGGGAATGCTAACCATGCCAGTTTCATCAGAGTGAAGAATGATCTGTGGGCAGAGGTGCTCAGATGATGTAAGTTGTATCCAGAGCTGTCATGTCACAGCATCTCCGTATCTGTTCTTATTTACTTTCCAAATTATTCTGGAGATGGGGGTTATTGTCCCATTTCTCAGTTAAAGGAACTGAGGCTCAGAGAGGGGGAGTGAGCTGCCCAGGAGTTCAGGGAACTAGAACTTGGATCTTTGGCCACCCAGCACCCACCCCCTCCATCCAAGGCGCTCTTCACTGCTGTCATCTGGGTGTTCAGACCGGCAGAGGAGGCAGGAGCAGGCGGGGGGTCCTGCATCTTGGAAGGTTCCAGTTAGGTAAGAGCGGATGGTAGCGGAGGCTAACTGATAGTAGTGAGCATGTGGACAAGTCAGTACCCCAATCAGTCAGTAGGCTGAGGGCAGGGACAGCTCTCCCATCACCTCCTCCTTGCTGGTGACTGACCCTGGCAGTTGTTGGTACCAAATCCTGGCGGGGCAAGGATGGTACTCATGGAGGGTGTGTGTTATGATGGGGTGGCAGGGAGAGCCTGGAGCTTAGGGGTCTGGGAAGGCTTCCTAGAGGAGACATCTTGCAGAACAGGACGGCGCTAGGGGAGGAAACATGGACTAGGGCCTGGGCCGTGGCAGAACCAGTTCCAAGCTGGGGATCTGTAGTTCTAGACCTCCCTGTCTTTGTTGCACACCTACTTGCTGCATGGCCACGTCAGCCTCAGTTTTCCCATAAATCCAAGCTGAGCCGCCCCCTGCCCCGCCCCAGTAGCTCCCCCCGGCCCTAAGCCATGCTATGAAAAGTGAATCTCTCCCCGGAGGCCTCAAGGCTCAGGTTAAGGCTGTGGGTTAAGAGGCCCCCAGGACTCAGGAAAGGTGGCGTGGAGGAGACCAGGCCCTGCCCGTGCCTGCCACTTCCGTCTCAACACCCACTTGGCGTGCCTTGCTGGTCATTCTCACAGCCTAGAGGGGGAGGCAGAGGCTTAACAAAGACAGGAAATACAGCGCTGCTGTCACGTTTGCACACTGAGTGATGCAGCTTTGAGACAGTGGTATGTAAATATTAATGAAGGCCTCTGTTATGCATAAAATCTGAAATAATGCCCATCTCTCACCTCCATTCTTCCTCCCCCTATAGGTCTCCTTGTAACCATGTGGCAGCCACTCCAGCTGCCAAATAGAAATGCCTGCTGTTTTAGGAATACGTCACCACCAAAACATGTGACAGTCTTGGATTATAGGATGTTGAGAGAAGAGGATCATAGTGGTCTGAGGACAGAATTGAGTTCATAGACTCCCCAGCTAGGAAGCCCGCTCCCCCAGGGTAGGGCTCTTTGTTGTGTCCACGGCTCCGTCCCAGTGCCTAGCACAGTGCCTGGTGTGTAGTTGGGCTCAGTAAGTATTAGCTGAGTGGGTGAAATGGGATCTGGGGACCAAGGGTGATCAGCTCTGTCCTGGTAGGAAAGGAAGAAGCCGGCAGCTGAGAACTTTCTTGAGCCGAGAGAAATAGTTTGGGGTGACTCAGCTGAGCCGTTCCCATCCTAGAAGGAATCTCTCACCCAGGGGGCAAATGGCTTTTCTTCCCTACCCACTTCTTATGAAAACAAGCAGGCGAGTTCTAAGTCAGATGTCAGGGAGCACCTCCCAGTGTGCCCAGTCCTGTGACACAGGGGAAGTTCCTCCTCGTCTGGGGCCACTTTACCCTTCTGAGCCTTTGGCTTCACTGTGAGAAGGGAGGTAGGCGGCCAGAGCCTTGGGG